TTTCGATGCGGAGCCCGATGTGCTTCACGTCTACGTCGCCACTGCATCGCCGACGTCGTCGATGCATCGCCAGTGCATCGCCGATGCATCGTCGATGCATCGCCGATGTATCGCCGATGCGGCGCGATCCACCGACCCCATCTACTCCGACCCCATCTAGGAGGCCTCTAGATGAGGATGAGGAGGAGGAGGACGAGGAGGAGGAGATGGAGGAAGAGGAGGATGAGGAAGCGGAGGAGGAGGACGACGAGGACCACAGTAAACCCACGACGCATCAACGATGCTGGAGTAACCCTCCCTCCAAACTCCCTCTTCGCATGCGCTCACAAGGATTCATGTGCGCTGGCTGAGAGGGAAGGTCCCCGTTGGGAGACAATCGTTGGAAGATCCTGAAGTGGGCCAAAAAGGTCTCGGAACGTCAAGGCCACGAATCAGCCTGACTGTTGCGTCTTGACGATCCTGAACCATGCCCGGACACCATTCTTGGGTCCTCAACACCATTCTTGGGTCCTCATCCTAAATACATGTTGCATCCTGTGGCAATCCCCAATCGTTCCAAGGCACCAGATCTGGTGCGTTAGCCGTGGGAACCCGTGGGACTCTTGCAAATGTTTCAAACGAATGTTCGCGGCGCTTAGGCGAGATCCACATTTTGAAAAGCAGCCGCTCTCAATCCGTGAAGCTCTTACAACTGTTTGCGACGAGCATACGCGGCGCTGAGGCGAGGACCACAGTTTTAAACGACCCGCCCTGCGTCCGTGAAGCTCCTCCTAACACGAATGTGCGTGGCGCTAAGGCGAGAGCCTCATGTTGAAAACGACCCGCCCTGGACCCTTGACATTCTTGCAGATCTTGAAGGCCCTAACTCCACCCTTGCTCCTCTCCCTCTGCATCCTCCCTCGGCTCTTCCTTACTTCTTCACCTCTCTCTCTCGTTCCCTTCTCTCTATATATGTATCGTATCTCCTTCTCTCTTGGTTTCCTCTCTCTCTCTCTCTTTCTCTCCCTCCTTCTCTCTCCCATCCCTTTCTCTCTCTCGACAGTCCTTCCTCTCTCCATCTCCCTCTCGCTCTCTCTTCCTCCCTCCTCCTTCCCCACCTCGCCTTGAGGAGAAGGCAGGGTAGGAGGAGGAGGAGGAGCAGGAGGGGGAGAAGGAGGAGATGGGGCAGATAAGTGAACATGATGATGATGCCGACGATGACGATGTCGATGACGATGACGCCGACGACGGTGACGACGACGATGGCGATGGCAACAACGACGACGCCGATGACGATGATACTCATGATGATGCTGATGATGTTCATGCTGATGATGCTGGTGATGATCCTCTTCCTCATGTTGATGCATCTGATGCTGATGATGCTGCTGAGGATGGTTATCATGGTGGTGATGATGTACATGATTGTGATGTTCATGCTGATGATAATGATGGTGACGATAATGAGTGTGATGGTGCTGGTGGTTGAGATAATGATACTGTTGGTGGTTTTTATTGATGTTGTTGTTGATGGTGACGATGGTGATGCTGGTGGTGGTGATGATGATGACTTGTTTATGCTGATGTCGATGCTGATGCTGATGTTGTCGATGCTGATAAGGATGATGACAATGATGGTAAGGGGAACGCTAATGATACTGATGCTGCTGCTGAACATGATGGTGCTGATGCTGATGGTGTTGATGATGACGATACTGCTGCTGATGATGATGATGATGAGGATGCTTTTGATTCGGATGAGGATGATGATGATCATACTGACGATGATGATCATGATACGGATGATGATGTGGATGCTGATGCTGCTGCGGATGATGCTGATGAGGATGATGGCGATCGTGATGGTGTTGGTGATGGTGACGGGGGCCTTTGATGCTGGTGCCGATGCTGATGATGATGAGGAGGAGGAGGATGTTGATGATGATGATGATGGTGGTGGTTGTGTTGGTGATGATGCTGATGATCAATAACGGCGACGATGGCGACTATGACCACGATGACGACGATTATGAGGACGATGATGACGCTGACGATGCTGATGCCGATGATGATGACGAAGACGAAGACGAAGACAACGATGATGGTGATGATGATGATGATGATTCATGTTGGTTGTTGTGGTGGTGATGATGCTGATGATGATGATGATGATGCTGTCGCTGATGCTCCTGATGATTATGGGCGGCGACGATGATGATGATGATGATGATGATAATGATGATGATGATAATGATGATGCTGATGATGATGATGATGATGCTGCTGATGATGATGATGATGATCATGATGATGCTATTTTGACGATGATGATGGTGTTGATGCTGATGCTGCTGATGCTGATGATGATGTTGCTGATGATGATGATGATGCTGATGATGATGATGATGATTATGCCGATGGTGGTGATGATCAGGCTGCTGTCGCTTATGATGGTGGTAAGGATGATGATGCTGATGATGATGTTGATGATGATGTTGATGATGCTGATGAGGATGACGATGATTCAGATGATGCTGCTGCTGCTGATGATGATGAGAATGGTGATGATGTTGATGATGATGATGATGATGATGATGCTGATGATGATGATGATGATGATGATGATGATGATGATGATGATGATGATCATGAGCCGGAGACGATGATAAGGATATGATGATGAGGAGGAGGAGCAGGATGAAGAGAAGGAGGAGGAGGAGGAGGAGGAGGAGAGAGGAAGGAGGAGGAGGAAGGTGGGGGAGGAAGGGCAAGAGGAGGGGGGAGGAGGAGGGAGGAGAGAAGAGGAGGAGGAGGAGGCCCTCCCTCTCCGAGCCCCCCTGCCAGCAGGCCGCGCCCCCCCCCCCGGCCGGCCCGCCGGCCGCGCCCGATGGCCTGTCGCCGGCTGGCGGCGCCCGCGGCCCGGCGGCGGGCCGCGGCCGCCTGGGGGGCAGCCTGCGCGCCGCGGAGGGCGGCGTCGCTGCCCCAGATCCCGGGCACCCGTGGGCGGAACACATCGCAAAGACATGATTCCCAGACGTGGATCGCGTCGTAACAAAAATCAGGACGGGAGGGTTTCATCCATTTTCGGCCTCGGGGGGGGCCCCCGCTGGGCCTCGGGACCGTCAAGAAACGACTCAGGGCGAAGAGCCAGTCTTGGGGAAAGCGTCGGGACTTCCAGGGACGCCGTCCTGAAAAAATCAGGACGTCGCATGCCTGGGTTACAGTGAGGGCCCATGCCAAGAAATACCCTGCTTGCCTCCAGGGTCACCTGAGTTTCCCCTGTCTCATGGGTTTCGGTGGTTTTGCATGGAGCGCGTGACGTTCCCACACCAGAGAAATCCATGGACGTCCTGGGGTGTGAGGGTTGGACTTCTCGTGGAAGGTTCCGTGCGGACGGGCCTCCACCTGTAAAGCGCGTGGATGAGAGACGGTGTCCGTTTCCATACTGCATCGGCGCGCTTCGCCGCCAAGTCGGGCGGCACGGGCGCCCTGCGTCGGTGCTGCCTTCCCCGATCCACAGATCTGGCGACCGCGCGCCAGGTCCACGGATCCCGACTCCATGTCAGCGCGCGCCCGAAACATTCAGGAGGGGAAAAACACACACTGACACAATTGATCGACGACTCCCTCGAAAGTATTGGGAAAATATGGGATGTGGAGGGGGGACGACGAAAACCCCAAAACTATAGGAAACAACATGGGAATCCATGGATCTGTGATGTCCATCCGTGGCCCCGCGGGCAGGGCCCCTGGGCCGCGACCCCCGGCGGACCCAGACCCCCCTCTCGAGTCGTGAGGAACGTCCAGAGAAGACGCTCTCCGCCACTCTCGGCCTCTGGCGGCCCTCGGCGGGCCCCGGGGCCGTCAAGGGCCACGCGCTGCCGCGGCTCCAGCGTTCTCGTAGGCGGAGGACATGTCCGATGGGCCTGGTTTCCACCACCAGCACCATACATTCGAGGGGGGGGAGGGGGTTCTCCACCTCCTCCTCCTCCTCCTCCTCCTCCTCCTCCTCCTCGTCCTCCTCCTTCCCCCCTCCAACTTATGGTGGTGGTGGCCCATCAATGTCCGCATCCGGCCGCCGTCGGCTACACGTCAGAGTGACCTTTCGCCGGAGTGGCCCCTGGTGCGGGCTCACTGGGGCCCCCCGATCGCCGAGTGCGATACGACACCAGCGGCTCTTGCGCGCTCGGGTTTGGTCACTCGTTGCCTGGGGCACTTGTTGCGTGTAGCCGATGAGTAAGGGGAGGATCTCATGCCCAGGGCCGTGTTGTCTCTGCGAATATCATGGCGCCCTCCTCTTCTTTCAATTCTTCCCTGGGCCCCCCCTTGGCCGCGCACGTGCTTCGGGCCATGCTTTGCGGCCTCGCGAGCAGGGCCCCTGGGCCCCGAACCCGCGGATGATGACGGGGCGCTCTCGCGCGGGCGCCTCGTGCGGAACATCTCCGGGCGACCGCGTGTCCGCGGGGCCGCGCCCCAGAATCCCGACCGCGAGGGCGCGCTGGGTGCAAATTCTCGGGGGTGCGATGAACTTTGGGGGGGACGAGCGAGGGCCGCACAGAAGGGGCCCTCAAATGGCCCCTGACAGGGGTCCTTTGGGGCCCAGCATGGGGGGGCCTTCCGGGCCCAAAGAAAGGCATCCTTCCTTCACTTCCATGTATCGCCACCCATCGATTCTGGTCCAAGCTCAGTATCGTTTGATCACTGTTCCCTATTAGTAATCACCTCCTCCCCCAGGCGACTGGTAGCCAACCCAGAGCCATGCGGGCACCCCCCCACCACTCATTGTCAAAACCATGCAAAAAAACCCTCAGCCTCCAAATTCGGAGCATGCGCAGCCAACCCGATGCGGCCTCCCCCCACCATCCCTGTCACAAAAACAATACATAATACAGTTGGCAACGGCGGCGGTGGCTGCCGCGGCTGCGGCGGTGGCGGCGGCTGCGGCGGCGGCGGCTGCGGCGGCGGCGGTGGCGGCGGCGGTGGCGGCGGCGGTGGCGGCGGGGTCGGCGGCGATGGCGGCGGCGGCGGCTGCGGCGGAGGCGGCGGTGGCGGCGGCGGCGGCGGCGGTGGCGGTGGCGGTGCGGCGGCAGCGGCTGCGGCGGCGGCGATTTGGGCAGCGGCGGCGCGGCGGCGGCGCGGCGGCGGCGGCGGCGGCGGCGGCGCGGCGGCGGCGGCGGCGACGGCGGCGGCAGCAACGGGCAGCGGCGGCGGCGGCAACGGGCAGCGGCGGCGGCCGCGGCGGCTCCGGCGGCGGCGGCTGCGGTGGCGGAGGCGGCGGCGGCGGTGGCGGCGGATTGGCCCCCAGTAGCTGCCCATCCAAAGACGACTGCTGAATATGATGAGGCTCGGGCCAGATTCGGGTGCCACGCATGTGTTGGGAGGGCGGGTGGGAGTGAGCGAGACAGCTTGCGGGCGGGGAGGGGGTCTTGACCCAATCCCCATCCCCATCCCCATCCCCATCCCCATCCCCTTCGAAACCCCCGCCAACTTACCACCCCAGTTGGGGAGACACCCCTCGGAACCCGAAGGGAACGACTGATATCCCCATCTGGGGGGGTAAATCGGCCAGTGGGGCCCAGGCCAATCCGCTGGGGATGGAGTTCGGTTGAACGATATTCACAACCGCGGATATGGGCATGTCCGCCGCTCGTGAGGCACCGTCCTCGTCAACGGGGAGATCCCGGACGACCGGCTGGTGCGGCAGGTGCTCCGGCCGGCGTGCCTCGGGGGCGGCCAACTCAGGCCTTTGGTTAAGCAGGAGGAATGTTCGAAAAGAGTAACAAATATTACGGGGACGATGTTTCTCGTATGTTTGAACTATGTTTGAAAATTGTGTTTTGTATTCTCCGCTTTTTGGACATGCCCGACCTAAGCATTGGGATTTTTGGCGGCATGTTTTTTCCATCCAGGCCCGTTCTCGGGCCCCGGGGCGATTGAAACCTCTTCATCGGCGAAAGGTACACTGGCCCCGGGGAAGGAGTCGAGACCTCTGGGGTCGCGCATCCAACAAGTAGATCGTCGGATGTCTGGGGTTCCTTCTCCTCCTCCTCTTCCTCCTCCTCCTCCTCCTCCTCCTCCTCCTCCTCCGTGGGGGTGGAGGATGACCGGAGGGGGAGGAGGAGGAGGAGCAGGAGGAGGAGGAGGATGAGGCGAAGGATGAGAAGGAGGAGGAGGAGGAGGAGGATGACGAGGAGGAGGAGGAGGGAAGGGAGGAGGAGGAGGAGGAGGAGGAGGAGGAGGAGGAGGAAAACGAGGGGGAGGATGACGAGGAGGAGATGAGGAAGACGAGGAGGCGGAAAAGGGGGAGAAGGACGAGGAGGAGGAGGAGGCGGAGGAGGGGGAGGGAGACGAGGAGGAGGAGGGGAAAGAGGAGGAGGAGGAGGAGGAGGAGGAGGAGGACGGGGAGGAGGAGGAGGAGCAGGAGCAGCAGGAGGATGCTGATGACGAAGAGGAGCAAGAGGAGGAGGGGGAATGATAATAATAATACGAACACAAAGAAGAATAGTAGTACTACTTCTACTAATACGAAGAATAAGCATACTATGACTAATACGAATAATAAGAATACGAAGAACACTAAGAATACAACAATAAGAAACCGCTGCGAAACATACTACTCATAAAAATACTACCGCTACTACTAATCATACCATAATAATGGTCATACCAATAAGACGGCGACTAATATTATTACTAATATTAATAATACTCATAAGAATATTACTAATAATAAGGCCAGTAATACGACTAGTACTCATCATAATAATAGTTATAAGACAAATACTAATAATATTACTGATAATAATAAGCATATCAACAGTAATAATACGATTACTACTACTACTACTACTACTACGACTAATATTACTATTGTTACTAATAATAATACGTCGAATAAAAAGAATACTGCTAGTACAAATATTAATAATGCTAATACTAATATTAATAATAATAATAATAGTAATAGTAGTAGTAGTTGTAGTAGTAGTAATAATACTACTACTAATAATAATATTAGTAATAATAATACAAATGCTAATACTACTACCAATAATAGTACGACTCATAATACTATTATTAATAATACTAATAATAATACTAATAATAATAATACTAATAATAATAGTAATAATAGTAATAATAATGATAATAATAATGATAATAATAATACAAATAATAATAATAACAACTAATAATGAGAATACTAATAATAATAAGCATAAGAAGAGGAGGAGGAGGAGGAGGAGGAGGAGGAGGAGGAGGAGGAGGAGGAGGAGGAGGAGGAGGAGGAGGAGGAGGAGGAGGAAGAAAAAGAAGAATAAGAAGAATAAGAAGAATAAGGATAAGAATAATAATAAGAAGAATAATAATAATAAGAAGAATAATAAGAATACTAATAAGAATAATAAGAATAATAATAATAATAAGAAGAAGAAGAAGAAGAATAATAAGAATAATAATAATAAGAAGAGGAGGAGGAGGAGGAGGAGGAGGAGGAGGAGGAGGAGGAGGAGCAGGGGGCAGGAGGAACAGGAGGAGGAGAAGGAGGAACAGGAGGAGGAGGAGGAGGAGGAGGACGAGGAGGAGGGGGGGGGGTAGACCTCATGGCCTTGTCCCGGCGCGCCCAGCGGCGCCTCCTTCTGTCAGAGGAGGGCGAGCTGAGACACCGGCAGCCGGCCTTCGAGGGCCACCTCCTCCACGGCTGGACGCGGCAGCTCGGGAAGCTGGTACGTTTGAGTCGCGCCTGTCCCTCCACAGGAGGAGTATCCAAAAATAGTCAAAACTAGTACGGGGACGATTTTTTGAATATTGCGAAGGCCTTACGGCCACTGCCGCCGACCCCGAGAACGACGAAGTTGAAAACGAGTGTGGGGGCAGGGGGAGGAGGATGAGTGGGAGGTGGAATAAGGGTGGAGGAGGTGGATGAGGGAGGAGGAGGGGGGAGAAGGATGTGGAGGAGAAGCAAGAGGAGAAGAAGGAGGCAGAGGGGGTGGGGGCGGAGGAGGAGGAGGAGGAGGAGGAGGAGGTGGAGGAGGAGGAGGAGGAGGAGGAGGAGGAGGAGGAGGAGGAGGAGGAGGAGGAAGAGGACTAGGCCAGAGGCTTTCTTGGGACAGCCTGGGGCTCTCTTGAGGACGTCATTCGCCGTCTCGAGGCACTCTTGGAGGCCTCCTGGGTAATTTGGGTCTCTCCTGGGCTGTCTTGGGGCAGTTTGGGGGCCCCTTGGGAGCCTCTTGGGGCCTCTTGAGGCTTCTTCGTGGCCTCGTGGGGGCCTCTTGGGGCTGAGATCTCAAACTGTTCGTTCGGGTCCCCCGTCTGGGCACTCTCCTGGAACCGTCTTGGGGACCTTTTGGGCCGTCTTGGAGGCGTCTTGGGCCATCTTGGGGCCCTCTTCGGCCGTTAGGGGACCCTCTTGGGGGCCTCTTGGGCCGTCTGGGGGCGATCTTGGGGGCCTCTTGGGCCGTCTTGGCGCGTCGGGAAGCGGCAGAGGCAAGAACGCCAAAATCTTTTAAACACGTATGGGAAATCCCTGGATTTTGCCTCTTGGGGCTCTCGTGGGAAAGCTCCTGGAGGCCTCTTGGGGCGCTTTGCAGGCCTCTTGGGTCGTCTGGAGGCCGTCAAGACGTCTTGAACAGATCGTTCCGCGATTCGGGGTTCTCTTGGACTGTCTTTGGAGCCTCTTGAGGCACTCTTGGCCCGTCTTGGGGCTTTTTGGGGCTCCCAGACTCCCAGGGGGGGCGTCGTATCTGACCCCCCCCCCCAGGACCCCCCCGGCCCCCGGCGGGGGAGGGATCGAAGGGAAGGGGCCTTTCGACTTAATAATCACGACGTTGCTCAACTTTGCTTTGGCTGGCGCGCTGAGGAGGTCCCTGGGAAAAGGGAGAGCTTCGACGAGCCCAGGGGAAGGGGGGAGGCAGGGAAAGGGGACGACAGAGGCGACGACCAACGAATGCCGGAGATGACGACTTGAACGGACAAGCCCCTCACACACGCCTTCAGGGTCGGCGGATTTCTTATGCGTTTTAAACTATGTATGGGGGATTTTGCATTGTTCCCCCCAAATCCACTCGTATAGTGGGACACGCCCGACCTGACGGTACGTTCGGACCCCAGGGGTCCAGGCGCCGCTCTTGAGCTGCCGTTGTCTCCGCTCGCCCGGCTCCGAGCCACGACCGGTCAGCGGGGGCAGAGCATGCCGGTGCCGCTGCCCGTCCCTCGTCGCCGTATAGAGCCGAACTCGCCCCGGGGTCCTCGTCGGAGCGCGCCCCCGAGAGAGCCCCTGGGCGATCCTGGGCAGTGTGCTGGTGCGGCGCGGTGCGGCACCGGCTCCGGCGCAGGCCCGTCTCGGGGGCGGCGAAGAGGGGGGCGTGTCGGGGGCCACGCCAGGGGTGGGGGGACAGGCTCCAGGGGGGGGCGGGGGGGGGGGCGGGCGCGTCGACCCTCCGTCGCCCGTCCCCCGCCGATCCAGCTGGGCCGCGACGCGCGTCGCGCGTCGCGGCCTGTGTCAGAGCGGCCGTCCTCCTCCACGGGGGGGGGGCGGCGCGGGGGCGTGAGGGCGCGAAGGGAATCATCGCGCGTCGCGCGTCGCGGGGGATGCGCGACGTTGGGTGGCACAGGATCCGGGCCCGACGGCCCACCCTGCTCCGGAGCGTGCGAGCTCGCCACTGGGGGCCCGTCGCCACCTGATCTGTGGTGCACCGCCCAGGTCGATGCTTCGCTCCCTCCCGGACCCAGTGCTCCCAGACGGTTCAGGCGATCGCAAGCATGGATCAAGGGGGCGTGGATTAGCGACGGGTCCCGTTTCCGTGGGAAATCGCGGATTTCCGCCGCCGAAGGGGGCGGCCCCGGCCGCATTTTGGAGAGGGCACCTCACCCGATCCAAGGATTTGGTGACTGCGCGCCAAATCCATGGATCGTTAATCCATGTGTGCGCGCCCCCGGGACGATGCCCCTCATCACTGAGGGGGGTGGTCATCATAACCAGGCCATGATTCAGATCCCTCTCGCTTCGCGGGGTGCACGTAAGCTCAGGATTTGGGTGGTTTGCCTTGCTCGTCTGCCGCGAAGTTCTGCCGTGTCGTTCTGCCCGCCACGGGGCGCTGTCAGTGCCAGGGGGGGCGGACGTGCCCCCCCCCCCCCCCCCCCCGTTTCAGCGCCAGGACGAGCGTACGAATGTCTAGGCAAACACCGCGTGACCGCGTGTCAGCACAAGGCAGCGCCAATCTCAATTTCTGATGAGCATAGCAACGCCGCGCAATTCGTATACAATTCCGCGAGTGGCTTGGAGGTTTCGTTGGGCCGTCTGGGGGCTTCTTAAAGGCCTCTTGGAGGCTTCTCGGGGGCTTCTTAGGGGGCCTCCTGGTTTGGAGCCTCTTGAAGCCTTTGGGGGGGCCTCGTGTGCCGTCTTTGGGCCCTCCTGCGCCCGTCTAGTTTCGGAGGCCGTTTTGGGGCCTCTCGCGGCCGCCTTGGGGCTCTCTTGGGGTCCTCTTGGGCCTTCTTGGGGGCCTCTTGGACCGTCTGGGGTGCCTGTTTTGGCCGTCTTGGGGTCCTCTTGGGCCCCCTTGGGGGCCTCTTGTGCTGTCTTGATGCCTTCTCGGAGGCTTCTTGGGCCGTCATGGCACTCGGAGAGCCGGGAAAGGCGAGGACCCTACAACCCTTGAACATTCATGGGGAAGTCTATGTTTTTGGCTTCTGGAGGCGCTCTTGGGGATCCTCTCGGGGCTCTCATCCTCTCGGGGCCGTCTTGCTTTCGAGGCCATATTGAGCCATCTTGAGGCCCTCTTGGGCTCCCGAGAGGCCGACGTATTTCCCATTGGTTTTGGAAGGTTTTCGAGGCCGGGTCTTCCATCTTTTGGTCGACGGAAGTGGCGTGGCCTCGGGGGGTAGCAATTACGTAATCATTGGATGCATCGCAGCTATACAATCAGTCGATGTACAGGATATGTTGCATTAGGGCTTCCGCTCCGCTCCGTGACCTGCCTCCGACAACATGTCACTTCTGGAAGTGTATTCCTCTCGCTTCGCGGGGTGCACGTCCGGAGCACGTACAGTCCAGTCGTTGCGGGGCCTCTTGGAGGTTTCTTTGTGGCCTCTTGGAGGTGGTGTCTTGGGGGCTCATTGGGGCCTCTTCTGCACTGGGCTTCTTTCGGGCCTCTTGGGGGCGTCTTGGGCCGACTTGGGGCGCTCTTGCGGCGTGTGGCCCATTCGGAGCCCGGTCTCTCGAGGCCGGTTTGGGGCCTCTCGCGGCCGTAATCGCCGCTGTGGGAAAGTGTTCAAATGTGGAAGGTGTGGGCCACGGTGTGGGCGTTAGTTGGCTTGACCTGCTTGGCTGCCGCGCGTGCGTGCCGCTCCGTCCTGCAATCCCCAGGACTTCTGGGCGGCCTCATGGGGGGCTCGTGGGAGCCTCTTGAACCTCGTGGGGGCTGCTTGGAGCGTCTTTGCGGCCGCTTTGGGGCTTCCTGGGGATTCTTGTTGACGTCTTTCGCCGGCTTGGGGCGCTCTTGCGCCGTCTGGCCCCTTTGGAGGCCTCCTTGGAGGCCTCTCGCGGCCGCTTTAGGGCTCTCTTGGAGTCCTCTTGGGCCGTCTGGGGGGCCTCTTTTGGCCGTCTCGGGCCCCTCTTGAGCAATCCTGGGGTCCCTTTGGGGGCCTCGTTGGCCGTCTTGAGGGCTTCTTGGAGGCTTCTTGCGCCGTCATGGTCCTCTGAAAGCCGAAAAAGGCGAGAACGCTAAAATCTTTCAATGATTTTGGCTCCTGGAGGCGATCTTTCGAGTCCTCTTGGGGCCCCCTTGAGCCGTCTTGGGGGCCTCACGGGCCCTCTTGGGACCGTCTTGGGGCCGTCTTGGGGCCATCTTGGGTCATCTTGAGGCCCTCTTGGAGTCCCAAGAGGCCCCAAAGCCCAAATCGTCGATGTCCGATGTTTTTTTAGAGGTTTTTTGGGTGGGCACTTGGGAGATCGAATCGGCAGCGACGCTATACGTAGGGCACAACCTAAGAATTGGAACAGGAGGGGGAGCGAGCGAGAAAGGAGGCCGAATACTATGACGATGAGGACAGTGTCGACGAAGAGGAGAAAGCAGAGGAGCAGGGAATGGTGGGGAGAGACAACAAATAATATAGTGGAGCGACATGCGTGGGGCGGAGAGAAAAACCATTTCAAGCGCTATGAGAGGGCACAGTGCCTGGGTCGTGAATCACGAGCGTTTGGGACGGAGGCCACGAGACACGTGGTACGAATAATGCCCCTGTGGTGGGTCAAGAGGCATGTCTTTGTGCAGTGTGGCCTGCGGCCGATCCCGGCACCGTGCCCGCGCTTTTGGGTCTGCGACTTCATGGATGCTTGTGGGGGTCTTGTTGGGAGCTGCGAGGGGGCCTTCTGGGAACAGTTTTGGGGCCTCTTAGGGGTCTGTTCAGCTACCTTTTTGAACCTCATTCGGGCTTCTGGGCGGTTTCCTCGGGTCTATAAGGGGGCCTCTAGGGCGCCTGCTGGCGGTCAGAGGGCGTTTGTGGGACAGAAATCTAGCGTATCAGTGCAGCGGCACGTGCAGTGGTCGGGCTCCTCGCCAGGATAATTGTCCCACTATTGTTGAGCGGGCTGGATATTGTTTGGGGTTCTCCCAGGGAGTAATGCATTGCGGGCAACCCTACGCGCGAGAGGATTCGCGAGCATCTTCTCATGAGGACTGCAATCAGAGTCAGTGGTTGCGGTTGCAGTCGTGATTGTAGTCGTGGTTGTAATCGTGATTGTATTATTAAGTGTAGTCGCGAGTGTAGTCGTAATCGCAGTCGCTGTTGTAGTCATAATATCAGCCGTATCGTAGTCGTAATCATCGTCTTCCCTCTATTGTTGGTAGGGTTGGGCGATGTTGTCGTGTCGCTCTCCCAAGGGGAGAATGCGCCCTGGGCGACTCAGCACGACAGAGGATTTCTGAGCACGTTTGTAAAGAGGAGTGCACGCAGATCGGCACACGATTTGCCGAAGGCGTTGCTCACAATCTCCGCCTTTCTCTCGTCGTCACCGTCGTCTGCGTCGTCGTCGTCGTTGTGCGGCGGGCGCCGCGGAGAGATACGTACTGTGTTTTTTTGCTGGTGGAGCCCGCGTCTGTCAGTCAGGTCGCACACGGTTTATTTAGTTTTCACCATTGGGGGGGGGTCCAAAGGCCCATCTCGGTGAAAGGCCCCCCAGGAGCCCCCCACACATCGTGAGGACCACTTTGCGTCCTGGTCTTCTCGCGACGTGGGGCCCCGAGAGAGCCCCCCCCCCCCACGGTTGTCGACGCACCCATAGGTATAACGGCCTTCATCGCCTTGCCCTTCCCCATTCCTCCCCCCTACAGGTTTGAGTGCGTGTGTTTTCTTTCAGCAGGAACAGTGGCTTCTGGACGCGCTCCTGGGGGTTCTCTCGGGGCTCTCTTGTGCTGTTCTGCGGACCTCATGGGCCCTCTTGGGGCCGTCTTGGGCCGTTTCGGGGCCGTCCTGGCGGGCCTCGAGTCCATGTTGCGCCATCTTGCGGTGCCCTTGGGCTCCCAAGAGGCTCACGAGGCCGACATCATGCATGTTCCATCGGTTTCGTCCTCCCTGCAGGTTTGAGGGCGTGCGTGTGTCTGTGTGTGTGTTCTTTCACCAGATGCAGTCACCGGTGCGCCCTCGGTGCTTCGGTGCGGATCGCCTGCGCGCCTCGTCTCCGTCGTCGTCGTTGTCGTCGGCGTCGCCGTGGTCGTGGTGCGTGTGGCTCTGCTCGGAACTCGTTTCCTCTATGCGGTGACCACCCACCCACCACCTCCTCCTCCTCCTCCTCCTGCTTCTCCTCCTGCTCCTCCTCCTCATCCTCCATCTCTTCCTGCTCCTCCTCCTCCTCCTCCTCCTCCTCCTCCTCCTCCTCCTCCTCCTCCTCCTCCTCCCCCTGCTCCTCCTCCTCCTGCTTCTCTTCCGTCGTGGCCTTCTCATGGGGCAAAAGGGGCCTGGGCTCGCCGCCGCCGCACCCCCCCCCTCCGCGCGCGCGCCGCCCGAGGTGCGCGCCTGGGCGGCCTCTTCGCGGGGCCTCAGCGGCGGGGACTTCGACCTCCTGCAGGTGGCTCCGCGGCAGCTCGCGAGGGCCTCCCGTGCCATCTTGCCGGCTCTCGTGAGTCGAGGCTCTACCCCGCGCGGGCCGGCGCTGAATCGACGCTGCATCGACGCGGATGGAGGCTACAGCGGCGCTTGCCCATCGCTTATCCGACGCTGGCCTCATGATGTTTTGACCCGCCTTAGCCTTCACCGATAGAAAGAATTTCGAGCACCAAGAAAGTACCAAAGCTGAAGGGTATTCACGCGTCGGGCCCTGTGAGGCGATACTCGCTCGACACTGTTTCGATATTTTCGGTGTGTGTGTGTGTGTGTGAATTCTTTACGCTTCGCGTATCCCCACCAGCCCATCTCACAGCAGCAACTCTTGCGAAGCATGCCGACAGTCGTGTTTTTCAGGCGTGTGTCCGCTTGCCCCCGCATATCTCCCCTGTTCCTCCTTCCTCCCGCCTCCTTGTACATCCTCCTTGTGGGGGGAGCGGGAGAAGGACGAGGCGAAGGAGGAGGGAGAGAAAGCTCTCGTCATGGTGTGAGTCGTTCGGGCCCTTCTTCCTGGTGTGAGTCGTTCGGGCTCTTCGTGGTGTGAGTCGTTCGGGCTCTTCGTCTTGGTGTGAGTCGTTCGGGCTTCTCGTGGTGTGAGTTGTTCGGGCCCCTCGTCCTGGTGTGAGTCGTTCGGGCCCCTCCTCCTGGTGTGAGTCGTTCGGGCTCCTCGTGGTGTGAGTCGTTCGGGGCCCTCGTCCTGGTGTGAGTCGTTCGGGCTCCTCGTGGTGTGAGTCGTTCGGGCGCCTCGTCCTGGTGTGAGTCGTTCGGGCCCCTCCTTCTGGTGTGAGTCGTTCGGGCTCTTCGTGGTGTGAGTCGTTCGGGCCCCTCGTCCTGGTGTGAGTCGTTCGGGCTCCTCGTGGCGTGAGGCGTTCGGGCACCTCGTCCCCTTTTGGGGCGTCTTGGGGGCCTCTTGGCGGCCCCAGGGGCTTCTAGGAGCGTCTTGGGTGCCTTGGGGGAGCCTCTTCGGGCCTCTTGGGAGCCTCTTGGAGGCCGTTTGGGGCGTCTTGGGGGCCTCTTGGCGGCCCCAGGGGCTTCCAGGAGCGTCTTGGGTGCCTCGGGGGAGCCTCTTGGGGCCTCTTGGGGGCCTCTTGGGGGCATCTTGGGGGCCTCTTGGAGGCCTCTTGGGGGCCTCCTGGGGGCCTCTTGGGGCCATCTTGGGGCCTCTTGGTGCCTCCTGGGCGCTTCTTGGGGCCATCTTGGAGGGAATCGATCAAAGAAGAGGGGAGCTTTAATGAGCGCGGCCCCCTCAGAAGGGCAAAATGAGGCCAAAACCTTAGTAAAGCCAATGATTTTGGCTTCAAGGAAGAGGGGAGCTTTAATGAGCGCTGCCCCCTCAGAAGGCGAAAATGGGGCCAAAACCGTAGTAAAATCAATGATTTTGGCTGCAAAGAAGAGGAGAGGGTTTTTTCTGCCCCCCCCCGTCGGGGCCAGAATCCTCGTGAGAGGTGTCGTTTTTTAGCCCTCCCAGGAGTCGAAAATGACCCCCCTGACGACCCGCGGAAGGACCTCTCCAGGCCCAGGGGGGGGGGGTAGGGGGAGGGGTAAACCCCTCCCCGAAGGGGAAGAAGGGGGTTGAGAACAGAGCGGGCTCTCTAAACCACTCACGCCCAAAGGGCTGGTGGGACTTATTCATGGGACTTGGTCCTTGAGTACGATGGGGGTGGATACTGTTTTTTAGGGTCCGGCGATAACCCGGGTTATCAGGCTCGCCCCCGCCGCCCCCCCCCGGATAACTTAACCTAGATGGTTGTGCAGGTTCGGGGCAGGGCGCAGGGAGTTTGCAGGGAGCGCTGTGTTCAACGGCGCGGTGGTGCTCGCCACAGCATGCTGGTGCTTAAATGCACGTTGGCGAAACGTTAGGGCTTGGAGTGGCACGGGGAGACGACGAAGCCGACGACGACAGACGACAGACAACAGACGACGACAGACGACGATAGATGACGATAGACGACGACGAACGACGACGACACCGACGACCGACGACAACCGACGTCGTCCCTAGGCATCTGGACGTGCACATGAGCAGCGCGGACGCAGGCATTGCGTTGTGCGCAGGCAGCGAGGCGATTCGGTGCGCGCCTTTGCTGCTGTTGCAGCCAGATCTGTTGTGTATTCAGGCGTTGTGGTGCACGCAAGCATAAGTGCGCGCAGGTCGCGCTTTGCACGCGTGCACCGTGATGCACCCAGGTAATATGGTGAAGACAGGCTTTGTGGTATGCAGAATTGTTGCTGCAACATCAGTTATCATGCACGCAGGCGTCCCAGGCATGGTGGTGTACAGAACCACTGTGGTGCAGTGTCATTACGGTGTATCACACCTTGTGATGTACACAGGCGATGCGGTGTACACATCCGCTGCTGTGCGCACGTTCGCTATGGTGTACGCCTGCGTTGTGGGCCCAAATCGCGTGACCGTTCCCCGCGCAAGAGAAATCAATACTCACACATAGCTGACGTATCGGATTTGATACGTTCGGATTCCCCACGATTTTCAGGAGTTCGGTCTAGCCAGGGGCCCTAGAACTGCACGCAGTTCTGTGGTGTACACAAGCGTTCTGGTGCATTGGAGCTGTGGTGCACGAGTATGGTGCTGAAGCAGCAACCGTGGTGCACATAGGCGTCGTCGTTTCCACATGCAGTGTGTGTAGTGTACACTGGCGCTGCGGTGCACACGGGTGTTGTGGTGTACGCAGGCACTCCAGTGTACACAGGCATGTTTGTGTAGACAGCCGCTGCGGTGTGTACATGCAGCTGTGGTGTGCAAAAGCGTCGTGGCGCACGCTAGACAGGCGCTGTGGTGCGCACAAAAATGGCCGGCAAACGAAAAATACAAAACATGTGCACAATCGTACCCCGGGCTGGAAAAATAATAATTACAAATAACTTACATACAGAATTTGACACGTTCGGGCCACTTGGGATTTTCCACATTTCGGGCCCCGGCGGGACCTTGAAGGTGCGTGGAAGCGCTGTGGTGCAAATGTTCGTCATACGCTGTGGCGCACGTTGTTCCTTTGGTGTTCACAGGCATCCTTGTGTACACAGGCGCTGTAGTGCACGCAGAAGCCTCTGATGCAGCAGCACCTGTGGTGTACAAGACCGTTGTGGCGCACGCATTTTTGGTAGTGCTTACAGGCAGTGTGGTGCATTCGTGCTCAATATATTATATAGTGTACACAAATCTTCGCGGCTACGCTTAGCAATCACATCCCGCGTATTCCAATGCGAGCTGTCCAGACATCCCTAGGCATTTTCAGACGTCGCCCGCATCGTCGCAGCACCAATACTAGCATCGCGGCAGCATCGTTAGCAGCTGTAGGGGCTGCAGCACCGGTGCGCGGGGGCATATGCATGGCTGCCCACAGCGCGCAGGTTAGGTAATCGGCCGGCCCCCCCCTCCTCCACCCCTGGATAACCAGGGGTATCGCCGATTCAAAAAAATGTTCTCGTACCATAGCGCTGCTGTGCTCTCTGCAGACTGCGTTTCGTGGACATACAAGGCTCCCACGGGTTGCTTCCGAAAGGTGGCCGAGGCGGTGGACGGCCGTGCCGCTCCACGCGCCATCTGCGGGGTGCTGCGGGCGCAGCTGCTGCTCGCGGGCAGCGCGGAGCCTGTGAGGGCCATCGTCGCGCTGTTCTACAGGGCGCGCGACTACCTCAACCAGGACCCGCCCGCTCGCCTTCAGTTTCGGAGGAGGAGGAGGACAATAAGGAGAATGAGGAGGACCATCGTGGTGGATTGGAGGAGGAGGAGGAAGAGGAGGAGAAGGAGGAGCACCATCGCGGAAGAGGAGGGAGAGGTGGCAAAGTACCACAGCGAAGCACCCCAATAGCAGCAAGGGTGAAGAGGCGGGTCGAGGACCTGGAGGTCGGAGATAGTGGACAGGGGCGGGAGTACGGCCATGCGCACCTTAGTGGATTTCCCAGGCCTCTTGTGTGTTGGGTCCCCGTTTTGAATTCGCAGCGCCGCGCTCCTCCTCCTCCTCCTCCTCCTCCTCCTCCTCTGTCCCTCCTCCTCCTCTCCTCCTCCTCCTTTCTCCTCCTCGTCCTTTTCTACTCCGTCCTCCCCCTCCCCCGCCTCCTCGTCCTCGTCCTCCTCGCTCCGACTCCTTCTCCTCTCGACTCCTTTTTACCTAACAGCGAAGACTGATAGGTTTCTAGTTGACTCAAAAGAGCTCACAGATCACTCCCCAGGGGGGTCCGGGCAGGTGTTGGGGAGTTGCCGGGCGGCAGGGTGCCGGGCTCGTTTTTCACCAACAGTCACACACTTCGTGCTCTTCGACTTCCCAGAACTCCATTCCCAGGCCACATTCTGAATACCCGGATGCAACAGTCACACACTTCGTGTTCTTCGAGATCCCATAACGCCATTCCCGGGCCACATTTAGAATAACCGATGCAACAGTCGCACCTTCGTGCTCTTCGACATCCAAACGCCATTCCGGCCACATCTGGCGGGCCTATGCACAGTCACACACTTCGTGCTCTCGATTCCCAGAACTCCATTCCCGGCGTACATTTTGGATGCCCGGAGCCAACTGTAGGCCACTTCGTGGTCTTCGAGTTCCCAGAACTCCATTCCCGGCCGACATTTTGGATGCCCGGAGCCAACTGTAGGCCACTTCGTGGTCTTCGAGTTCCCAGAACTCCATTCCCGGGCCACATTTTGAATGCCCGGAGCCAACTCTAGGCCACTTCGTGCTCTTCGAGTTCCCAGAACTCCATTCCCGGGCCACATTTTGAATGCCCGTAGCCAACTGTAGGCAACTTCGTGCTCTTCGACTTCCCAGAACTCCCATTCCTGGGCCACATTTTCAGCAGGGGCGAGAGCACGACGAGGAGGAGGACGAGCAAGACCAGGAGGACGAGGACGAGCAGGAGCAGGACGAGGAGCAGGAGGAGCAGGAGAAGAAGGACGAGCAGGAGGAGGAGGAGGACGAGCAGGAGGAGGAGGACGAGCAGGAGGGAGGAGGACGACCAGGAGGAGGAGAACGAGGACCACCAGGAGGAGGAGGAAGAGGAGGAGGAGGAGGAGGAGGAGGAGGAGAGAGCACCAGGAGGAGGAGGACGAGCAAGACGAGGAGGACGAGAACGAGGACGAGCAGGAGGAAGAGGAGGAGGAGGAGGAGGAGGAGGAGCAGGAGAAAGAGGAGGAGGAGGAGGCAGGCTGAGGCTGAGGCTGTGACTGCGACTGCCGTTGCCGCTGCGACTGTCATCGCGAATGCGACAACGACTGCGAGAACAGCAGAATTCGACAACTGGATTTTCATCTGAATCTTAAGGGGAATGCTTTCAGATATGCTTCTACACATCGCTGTTAGGTTGCTTTGCCGGGATAATTTTCTTATCACTCCTCCCTTCACTTCCGCCTCAGTTTCCCCCTCCCTCTCACCATCATCACCACCATCATCATCACCATCATCGTTGCACTATCATCATTATCACCATAATTTCGGCCCACCCTTTACACGTTTCGTGGCCCCAGTTTTTGTCGCATGGAAGCAAAATCCCAGGGAGGCTTGTTCAACCGGGGTTGTCCGGTGGGGTTGCCCGGATCCCCGCTGGGTTGTCGTCAACCGAGTTGTCAGGGTAGGTCGTCTTGTCGTCATTCGTCAGCATGGGTTGTTCGGGTTGTCCAGGGGGTGTCTGGGGATTTTTCTCGATTGGATTATCTAATGGCCTTCGGCCCATCCTGCTTCTGTGCCTGGTCTGTGGTTATGAAGCTTATTGGATGTTCGTTGGGATCTCGTGGCAGGCCTCTCGGGGGCTTCTCGGAGTCAGGTTTGAGGCCTCTTGGGGGTCGTTTTGGGGCGTCTTGGGGCCTCTTCTGGGCCTCCTGGGTGCCTCTTGGGGCCTGTTGGGGGCCTCTTTGGTGCCTTTCGGAGCCTCTTCGGTGCCTCTGGGGGCCTCGTGAGGGGGCCTCTTGGGGCGGAAGGCTTGGATTTTTTGGTTCGTGTTTCCTCTCTTGGGCCTTTTGGGCCGTCTTGGGGCCCTCTTAGAGGTCTCTAGGGCCGTCTTGGGGTGGTCTTGGGGGCCTCTCGGGCCTTTGGGAGCGTCGGATAGCAGAAAAGGCGAGAGCGCCCAAATCTTTCAAACACCTCAGGAACATCAATGCTCTGTGCCTCTCGGGGCCCTCTTGGGAGACCTCCGGGAGGCCTCTTGGGGCGTCTGGCAGGCATCTTGGGCCATCCGGAGGCCATCTCGGGCGCCCTGGAGCGATCGTTCGGCGACTCGGGGCCCTCTTGGAACGTCTTGGGGGGCCTCGTGGGGCCCGCTTGGCCCGCCCTGGGGCCTACGTACCCGGGCCCGAACAAATCACGCCACGCGATGCGGTGGAGCCCAGCTGGCACGCGTCACGCCCCAGGGGGGCACGCGCCGAGCCGCGCCAGGTTTTGGAGTTTTGGGTCCGGGCCCCTTTGAAGACGCCTCGGAACTGAGGACCTCCTCGATCCTCCTCGATCCTCCTCCCTCCTCCTCCTCCTCTTCCTCCTCTTCCTCCTCTTCCTCCTCCTCTTCCTCCTCCTCCCCCTCCTCCTCCTCCTTCTCCTCCGCCTCCTCCTCCCCCTCCTCCTCTTCCTCCTCCTCCTCTTCCTCCTCCTCCGCCTCCTCCTCCCCCTCCTCCTCCTCCTCCTCCTCCTCCTCCTCCTCCTCCTCCTCCTCCTCCTCCTCCTCCTCCTCCGGTCCAGGAATTAGGCGAAGGACCTGAGGACACGCCCACTCCGTGCCCAGAGGCACGGGGGCGGATTCTTCGATTGAACATTGGAGGGGGCTCCACCCTAGGCCCCGGTGGGTGCGTTCGCATGGCGCCACCCTGCCCATTTCGGTTCACCGCTCACACGCTTCGTGGTCAGTGGCTGCGTTCGAATGTCGCCACCTCGCCCATCTCGGCGCACGCCTCACACGTTTCGCGGCCCCATGGGGAGCTCCTCCCAAGGCCACAGTTGCCGCGTCCGCGTGGCGCCACCCCGCCCACGTCGGTCCACCCCTCACACGTTTCGTGGCCTCGATGGGAAGCTCCACCCAAGGCCCCAGCGTCGGCGTCCACATGGCGCCACCCTGCCCAGTTCGGCACACCATGCACACGTTCCGTGCATCGCTGGCTGCGTTCGCAAGGCGCCACCCCGCCCACTTCTGCACATCCCTCCATACGAATATTCGTTGATTGTTTGCAACGGGTTGGGTTCTTCGCCAGGGCAGTTCGTTGCAAGGAATCGTGTCCGTCGGGGCCACACATGTAGCCGGCATTGATGCGAGTGCACAAGCCCTGGGTCACTTGTGAGGATGCCTCAAGCGAAACGACTGCCAGACCTGGCGTCCTCAGACTGTCCGTCCCGCCTGTGGGACTGTTCTGTTGTCCATGTATCCATCATTGGAACCTGGTAGCGAAGCGCTATTACAAAAGAAAGGATGCCGATGCCGCAGCTCGTCCTGGAGAGGCCTCGTCCCCATGGCCAGACTCTCCTTGGGGGGATGGGCAGGACGCGTCCCAGAAGAGCTCCCGCTGAGGAGCCGTGTCGGAGGCCTTCTGCTTCTCCCATGGCTACTCCGCCCGCCCGACCCGCTCGCAGGGGCCCGCCCGCACGTGGGGGTCGGCCCCCCAGGCCCCTGCGCCTGCTCGGAGGAGGTGCCGATGCCGCTGCCCTGGCCTCGCTTGGGCCTCTCGGGGGCCTCTCGGGAGGCCCGCGTGGCCACGGTTGGCTCCGCCTCGAGATCCGAGTCAGAGCTCCCCGAGAAGGGTCTGGGGAGCAGTGGTTTCCGTATCCGTTGCCTCCCCCCAGTAGGAGGCCGCACAAGACTCGAGTGGTGGCGAAGCGTCCCAGCTCGTCTGTAGGCCTGCGAAAGAATGTTCTAATAACACTACACGGCATGTTCGTAGAACATGTTTGGCTGGGGCTGTCTTTTTTTTACACATCTGGTTCTGTTATGAGAATATGTTTGTTCTTAGAATTTCTTGGGGTTCTAAAAAACATTCCGTGGTCGGCCTGTAGGAAAGTCGGGACGGTCGGTCCCTGCTCGAAAGACACCTGGACTGCTGGCCATCCTACAGGAAGAGCAGCGAGCGGCGTACATATCAACTTTAGGAGGTCCACGCTAAGTTCTTGGACCAGCGCTGTGCCGCCCTCGTCGCGCTCCGCGCGCTGGGGAAGGGGCCTGGCGACCAAGGAGGAGGAGGAGGAGGAGGAGGAGGAGAAGGAGGCGGAGGAGGAGGAGGGGGGAGGAGGAGGATCGAGGAGGAGGAGGAGGAGGAGGCGGAGGAGGAGGAGGAGGAGGAGGAGGGGGAGGAGGAGGAGGCGTTGTCTGATTATCCCAGGCCCGAGGAAGATGTGGACAGAGGCCGAGGCCAGGAGGGCGATCATCACACCGGGCCAAGGCCCGGCAGGGCCCTGGCCTGGCGTGGCGGTGATTGTGTCAAAGGGTGCCCTCCTCCTCCGCCTGCTCCTCCTCCGCCTGCTCCTCCTCCTCCTCCTCCGCCTCCTTTCCTCTCCTCCTCCTTCTCCACCTCCTCCTCCTCCTCCTCCTCCTCCTCCTCCTCCTCCTCTCCTCCTCTTCCTCCTTTTCCTCCTCCTCTTCTCCTCCTCCTCTTCCTCCTCCTCCTCCTCCCTCGCCTCCTCCTCCTCCTCCTCACTCCTCCCCCTCTCTACCTCCCTCCTTCCTCCCTCCTCCTCCTCCGCCTCCTTCTCATCCTCCTCCCTCCTTCCTCCCTCCTCCTCCTCCGCCTCCTTCTCCTCCTCTTCTCCCACCTCCTTCGCCCTCCCTCCCTCCCTCCCTCCTCTCCCTCCCTCCCCTTCTCCCCTCCTCCTCCTCCTCGTCTCGTCCTCCTCCTCCTCCTCCTCCTCCTCCTCTTCCTCACCTCCTCCTCTCCTTCTCCTCTCCTCCTCTTCCTCTCTCCCTCCATCCTCCTTCCTCCTCCTCCTCTTCCTACTCCTCTCCTCTCCTCCTCCTCCTCCTCCTCCTCCTCCTCCTCCTCCTCCTCCTCTCCTATCCTACTCCTTCCTCTCCTACTCCTCTCCCTCTCCTCCTCCCCCTCCTCCTCCCCTCCCCTCCCTCCCTCCTCCTTCCTCCTCCTCCTCCTCCTCCTCCTCCTCCTCCTCCTCCTCCTCCTCCTCCTCCTCCTCCTCCTCCTCCTCATCCTCCTCTCTCCTCCCTCCTCCTCCTCCTCCTCCTCCTCCTCCTCCTCCTCCTCCTCCTCCTCCTCCTCCGCCTCCTCATGCTCCTCCTCCAGTAGCTCTGGCTCAAGTCTCACGGAGCTAACCTCCCGTGGGTCCCGACTCCAGAGGCTCGAGGCCGAGGTGGAAGGGCAGCCCCTTCCCAAGGCCTGGCTGCCTCGGCCAGCACGGGCGCCCCGCAGAAGCGCCCCCTCTACCTCCTCGGCCGCTGCCGCCATCGCCGAGGCGTCCAGCTCCTGCTGCTGGCCGCCGCTCTGCTGTGTGCGGCGCAGCCATGGCGCCAGGCGACCCAGCGCGTCGCCCCTCGCGCCCGGGAGGCTCGGCCAAGACTCCGAGGTGCTACATGGTCTGTTCAACGCCATCATGTGGGGGATGGTCCTGGACAGATTTGGGACACCGTCATTGTGGTAAATGCGAGAAGCCTTTCGAGGAGTCGGCCAACAGTACGAACAAGCAGACCGCCCAGCCCCCCAAGCCGCCCCGCTCCAGCTCCCGCGGCGACCGGTGGGCTCGTCGAGTCCAGTTTGACGACGATGCAGCAGTTCAGCAGCCAGAGTGTGACACCACCGGCCCCATCCAGGTCTGTGTGGCCGCCGTCAATCTCTGGCGCAAGATCGAAGGAGTTGGAGGACAACGTTACCTCCAAGCAGCTGAAGAACTCAAAGCAGCCAAGGCCGCCGCCTTGGCAAACAAGTCGCCCGACCAGCAGACGCAGAGCTTGTCGGACCAGCTCTCAGTGCAGCGCAAGCGCCTCGAGGGCAAACAGAAGGACGTGGCCTGGTACCTCGAGGAGATCGAGAAGCTCACCGAGAAGTGCCAGACGGTCGCGAATGAGTGCAACGACATCTACAAGGAATGCCAGCAGCTCGAGAGCCAGCTCAGGGTCGCAGCGAAGGCAGCGGCCCAACAGGCTGGAGGAGCAGATGGTGCAGCACATGGGGCATCATCAGACACGCTCGAGGACTACATCATGGCGAAGCTCCCGCCTGGCGCGGAGATCAGCCCCGACTTCAAGCAGAAGGTCAACGCCATGGCCACGGAGCTCGACGCTGAGTACAATCGGATGGTCCAGGCGTCGGCACAGTCAGTAGCTGATGAGCAGCCGCGGGAAGGACAAGCACCACAAGCACCAGCAGCTGAACCAGCAGCTGGTCTCCCACCAGCCCCTGAAGGTGCAGCCGCAGTCGCAGCTCCTAGTGGAGAGGGCCTTCCTGCAGGCTCCACCGCCGACGACAAGGAGCTCTCCGACGCGAAGGAGAAGGAGGAAGGGGCCTCAAAACGGGCTGTCCATGCCCTCTCGGCGGTCTCGCAGATCGGGACTCCTGGGGCCCTGGGGCCATCTGCTGAGGACGCCCAGAGGAGGCTCCGCTCCAGGGTCGAGGGCTCGGGGGCCGCCCGCGCGTCTGGGGGGTAACATCCGCATCATGAGTTTCAATGGAAGCTGTTGGGGAAGCGTCAAGACTTTCGTCGAGTCCGATGACGCCAAGTCCATCCACGTTTTGTGTGTTCAGGAGGCCAGGCTTCTTGAAACTCAAGTTTTGGATGCTACTCAGTGGTGTAGCAAGCGTGGATGGGATGCAAGTTTTACGGCTGGGGTTCTGAGCGACTGTGGGGCAGTTACGCAAGGCACAGCCATCCTCGTGAGAGGCGGGTACGACTTCGGGGTCACAAGAGTCGACTACCCTGCTAATACGCCAAAGGGAAGAGTTACCGCCGTAGCTCTGGAGGTGCCAGGACACGCTCCATTTATTCTAGCCTCAGCCTACCTTGCCGACAAGGTTGGGCTGAACGAGTTTAACCTCAACCTCCTCGCCAGCCTCGCGCAGCTCGGCCAGGTGCATCGCATGGGCCTGATAGTTGCGGCTGATTTTAACCTCTCGCCTGCCGAGCTCACCAGGAGTAACTTCTGCCCGAGAGCAGGAGTGCAGGCGCAACAAAGACCAAGAGCCTGATAGATTTCTTCCTCGTCTCCGATTGTTTCCAGGACTACGTGAGTAAGCCCAAGGTCCTAAAGGAGCACCCCCTGGGCCCCGCAGGCCCGTGTACTTCGACCTCGCCATAGACGAGCCCTTCTTGGTGCCCGTCCTGGTGCAGCCTCAGAAGATCCCAGCGAAGTTGCCTGTGGGACCCATGAACCGAAGCGGCCATGGACCAAATGAAAGCTTTCTTGGGACAGTCAGACTACGGGGCCCTGGACGGGGCCATGGACCAGACCTACGAGACCTTGGCCAGTGACTTAACGAGTTTTTTGAGCAAGGTCACTGACACGCCTCTCCGCAGCCAGCGCCTACGGGGTCAAGGACCTCAGCTCCGATGGGTTCCCTCATGTGCAGCGGAACGCGCTCGCTGTCGCAGCTGGCGCTCTCTTGCAGGCCCCCTTCGCTGGCTGGAGAACAAGATTACTGGCGCACGGCGTGCTTTAGACCAAGCGTGTGATCTAGAATATGATTTTCAAGTTGTCTTGGGGGACATTGGTTCGGCCCCAGCTTTATTTGGTGAAGCTGACGAGTTAGGGGCCCTTCTTCAAACAGTTCAGGCAGCCCTGCAAACGGCCCTCGTCGACATTCGTAGCGACGCTCTAAATGCCGCCATAGCGAAGGAACTGTTCGATAAGCTCTTCGTCGACATCGATAGAGCCTTAGAACGAGAAATGCACCGCGACCGATCGACCGACGAGAAAAAACTGGGCCGAATGGGTCAAGACAAGTATGCAGCACGGAGTGGGATGGGGCCATAGATGGACCAACGATTTCAGCAGTTGGAAGCCTCAGCAAGTCTGGGAAGCCTCGATCGGAAGGGGGTCATGAAGGCCGTATGACTTACTTAAAGCTGACGCCGAACGTCTCCTGGATATCTGGGAGACTACCCCAAAAGAGCACGCGCCGAAACATCGCAGGCCCAGCCCCGAAGTCCTAGCCGAGCTGGAGCCCATCACAGTTGACTTGGTAAGAGCAGCAGCAAAGCGATTCAGCCATACCACGGCCTCCACCTACGACGGCTTCCATCCCAGGCACTTTGCGCTCTTAGGTGGCACCGGGCTCGAGCCCGTGGCCCGCTTCATGCGCGCTTTCGGGGCGGTCGGCCTCCTGCCCTCTCAGGCGCGCGCGACCGCCACCATGCTCATCCCAAAGCACAAGCAGCAGGAGGGTTCCAAAGGCAAGCCCAGCTACCGAGGGATAGGATTGATCTGTTCGATCTGGATACTCTGGGCCAAGAAGGCAGCCAGTAGCTCGACGATGGGAGTTTCAAACCAAGAGGCCTTATCTGGCCCATCAAAGAGGACGAGGGATCTTAGAGACCGTTTCCTGCAGGCCCTCGAGGCGGAATCGGCCCATTACGAAGGTGTTCCCAGGTTCACTGCTGCGGTGCTCTGGGGCCTCTCAAACTACTACGAACACATCAATCGGGACAAATGGTTTTCCAGAGCGGTCGGCACAGGTTTCAATCAAGCTGTGGCGGTCTTGATTGCCAACCAGTATGGATCGCCCCGTCTAGTTGCCAACAGGTCGCAATCAGTCTTCGCTGGCAGCCCGCAGTATGGAGTACCCGCAGGCTGCAGCTTCGCCACTTGCGTTATACAGATGTATTGCTCTGTTCCGCTCGATGTCTGGGCCCAGGACAACATAGATACTAGCTTCCACATGTTTATAGATGACATCATCTTACAGGCCCAGGATAAGTGCCCCAAGACCCTGACCAAGACCCTTGCAGGAGCCTCAAAGAGTATGAAGGACACCATAGAGGAGGACTTAGATAGCAACATTGCCCTCCATAAGTCAGCCATCCTAGCCTCCTCCTTAAAGGTTCGGGAGCCCCTGGTCAAGGCCCTCGGCTCACTAGCAGGACCCCAGGCTTTGGAGCGGGTCGACGCCGCCGCCAATCTCGGTATAGACTACACGGCTGGAGGTCGTGTCCGCAGCGGCCGTGGCCGCGCTGTTCTGCGCCTCCGTTTCAAGATGATGAAGCACCGCAGGCGCAGGCTCCAGGCTATCAAAAAGGCTGGGGCGGACATGAGAAAGTCGTACAACACAGGCCTTGACCAGGCCAACCATTACGGGGGTGAAGTGGAAGGCCTGGCCGACTCAGAACTCGCCCAGAGCCAGAACTACTACCTCAGCACCGTTGGCCCCAGAAGCCCAACGAGGGCCCGTGTCTTGAGCCTGTGCCTGTTGGGAGACCCCATCCTGGAAGGCCGCCTTGGGGCCCATCATTTACTGCAGCCTTCTGGCATGGGGGATCTCGGCCAAACCTGGCTTGCTCAAGTACGATCACGGTGATTTGAAACAGAAGGTGCACCGAGTCTTGGACAACCCCCCAAAAAGTTGGAGCGCCTGCCGCGGGCCCATGGGGGCCGCCCTGCTGAGCCTCAAGAGGATAGGTTGGAAGCTCCTCAACCCGTTCGAGATAGAGACGAGCCAAGGCCTAGTCCTCCAGCTCACTGCGACCCCGCCAGCCCTCCTCAAGTACCACCTGGGGGACGCCTGGAAGGCGCAGCTCGAGTTTAACGCAGCGGCCAAAATGGGACCTCCTCAGGGCCGTCTGGATTGCTCGGCCGCAGAAGCTGTCCTGGACGACCCGAACCTCACCAAGCCCCAGAAGGGGCTGCCTCCTGGCCTACCTTACCCAATGATGTCCCTGGACGAGGTCCCGCTTGGCTGCAGTAGGTTATGAGATCGACCAGGAATGCGAGTGCGGACACCCGACAGATGGAGGGCACGACACCGTTTCAATTGCCAGCTCGTCGATGACATCAGAAGTGGCACCTTAGAGGCCCCCGATCTACAATATCTTCGAGGGTACCCCAGTGAAGCTCCCCTAGCCCATGGTTTTCAATACCTTCCCGAACCCGTGTTTATAAGGCCCTCCGGGGTCGGCTTTGCTTTTGAGTTCTGGTCCAAAAACGGAGACCCGCTCATGAGGCCATGTCTGGCGAGGCTTTTGTTGACGGGTCCTGCTATAAGCAAGGTCCCACCGTTTGGCACCAAACGGGCTGGTCGGTAGCTGTGATGGACAAAGCTGGTGACTGCAAGGCTCACCTGTCTGGACAGACAGGAGCCGCTCTGCCGCCCACATCAGGAGCAGCTGAGCATCTTGCCCTTGTCACCAGCCACATGTAGCCTAACATCACCCAGGTCCACCCGGACCACTTAGGAGCCATTAGGAAGTACAGTCAAGTAGGCTTGATAGAAAGAATAGGTACTCTGGGCTGGAGCTTGTTGCCAAAGGTAAACGCACTGGTGGTGCCCTCCCCCAAGTTTGTAAAGTAAAAGCGCATCAGGATTTAGACAGCCTTCCAGAAGGCCCCCGTGGGAAGTTTCTGGCCCTCGGGAACGACGCTGCCGACCGACTCGCCAAAGCGGCCGCGACGAAGCTCGGGGGCCCATCGGAAGCCGAAGTAGATAAGTACCAGGCCGACCAAGCCTTCATCAAGCGTTTCCTGCGTTTTGTCTCACAAGCCATGCTCACCTGGCCCGCCATAGCGCCGAAGCCAGGGGGGAAAGCATGCGGGAAACCTGTTTCCAAGCCGGCTGTAAAGCCCCTTGTGGGTGCTGCCCTTATCGCCCCTGCTCCGCCTCCGCCTCCCCCTCCCCCTGAGGGTCCTGGGGCCGCTGCTGGAGCCTCCCGTGGTCAGAGAGAACCTGGGCAGTACCACAAGTGGGTCTGGCTAAGAGGTAGATGGATGTGCGAGCTGTGTCGCGCACGAGTTTTAACAATGGGAGCCAAGACCCGTCGCCAACACGAGAGATGCCCAGGCACCTGCCCGAGCATCTCTCACCTTTCCTTCAACCGTAATGGCCATACTATATACACATATATATATATATATATATATATATATATATATATGTTTTCGACCGCCTCGAGAATGAGAGCTGTGTTATGGCCTGCTGGAACTGTGGAGTCTATTCTGAACTCATGGCCAGAGGTTTCCAGAAAGAGTGCCTCAAAGAGCCCCATTCTAATAACAAGAAAACGGCTATACGCTGTTTCAGGTCGTGCAGGCATCCCAAGGATGGCATGCAGGGCCCCATCGTCTTTGCTGCCCCCATTCCTTTTGACATGATGATTCGAGAGACGCAAATGTCGTTGGGAATTTCAAGCAGCAGCAGCAGCGGCAGCTAGCCGCCCAGGCAAGAACCCATTCAGTCAGATGCGCTGGTCCTGCTCCTCCTCCCTCCTCCTCCTCCTCCTTTTCTTTCTCCTCCTCCTCCTCTTCCTCCCCCTCCTCCTCCTCCTCCTCCTCCTCCTCCTCCCCCTCCTCTCTCCTCCCTCCTTCCTCCCTCTTCCTCCTTCTCCTCCTCCTCCTCCTCCTCGCTCCGCCTCCTCCTCCTCCCCCTCCTCCCCGTCCTCCCCCTTCTCTTCGTCGTCGTCGTCGTTGTCGTCGTCGTCGTCGTCGTCGTCATCGTCGTTGTCCTCCCCCGCATCCTGCGCCAGGAGTTCTGGGAGGACCAGGTCAGGAGACTCTGCGACATCGTGTCCGAGGAGTACCTGCGGGGTGGGCGCGGGGTGCAACTCATGTCGAAGGAGAAAGTCGGGACACACACATAAACTTTCGGAGGTCGACGCGGAGTTCTCGGGTCGGGTCTGGTCCCTTTACGGCGGCGCATGGGCGCCGCCCCTTGGCACCTCCGCGCGCCAGGGATGGGCGTCCAGCGCAGATCCAAGAGTTCCGTGTGGACTCCCAAAAAGTTTACGTCCACGGTAGGCGCGCAAAGTGCAGCCAAGACGCTGGCACAAGGAACGCTCTGGGTTTGGAAAGGGGCTCGATGCCCCCCAGATCTTTCCATAGCTATTCCTCTGACGTTCCTCGTCTTCGCAGGCGCTTGCGGGGCCACGAATGAGCTCCGTAACTTTTTTGGCGTTCCTTTCTTTCAGCAGCCCGACTGTGAGAAATCATAATGCGAGCATGTGCCCAATGGGGGACCTGATTCATCGAGGTCCCCGGGCAGGTGCCGATGGCCTCGAGGCATCCCGCGAGGTCCACGGCGAGCCGAACACGGAGCCTCCAGATTTTTCCGCTCTGTCAACACAACAGTCTTCGACGCTTGTGTGTAGTGCAGTCAAGGCGCTGCAACTCCTCCTCCTCCTCCTCCTCCTCCTTTCATTCTTCTCCTCCTTTTCTACTCTTCCTCGTCCTCCCCCTCCTCCTCGTCCTCCTCCTCCTCCCCGTCCTCCTTCTCCTCCTCCTCCTCCTCCTCCTTCTCCTCATCCTCATCCTCCTCCTCCGGGCCAGGACGGGCTCTGGCTTTTGGGGCCGTTCCTTAGGTCTCCAGGTCGGGGAACCTCTTCGTGGCCGAGGCTCGCCGTGGCCAGCGCGACGACGGCAGCTCCGCTCTTTCTCCTTCCGCCAATGGTGCACCACAACGCGCCGTCCTGGGCCCTGGGCCTCGAACTCGGCGAGCACAGGCTCCCGGGGCAACGCTGTGCGGCGGGATGGGCTCGGGGGGCGGGTGCCGCTTGGAGCCGGCCCGGGGTCCGAGGTGGCCCCGCACTGGTTCCGGCCAGCAGGAATCCTCAGTAACGTTTAACCGATCCCTACCACCATCCCCATCCTCATCTCCAGCCCCACCGCCTCACCACCTCAGCTGGGGGTATGCCACTCGAAACCCGAGGGGAGCAGCCTCTATCCCCATCTGGGGGGCAAGTCGCCCAGTGGGGCCCAGCCCCACGCTGGTGGGGATGGGGATCGGTCAAACGATGCTCAAATCCGAGGTGGGAATTTCTACATGACCACCGCCTGGATCCACTTTGGACATACTCGGGCCCCCGGGCCCAAAATATATCCATATCCACCGCCCGCGCAAGGAAGGCTGGTCAAATCAGCGGCACCGTAACGGGAACTCACTCTAACGCGTACTCTGGAAAGTTGCCGAATCGTTGCCACTTTCGGGCTTCTTTCGGGCATTGCAGCGTTGCCCACATCGGGGAGGGTTGGGTTCGCCGGGTCACTGTCCAAAGTACCCGTTAGTGGAGTCCCCATCAGGGCGGTGCTGATCGAGCGGGTTCGGGAGGGTTCTTGCAATTTCCGGGAGAAAGGGAAGGAGGAGGAGGAGGAGGAGGAGGAGGAGGAGGAGGAGGAGGAGGAGGAGGAGGAGGAGGAGGAGTGGGCGGAGGATGAGGAGGAGGAGGAGGAGCAGGAGGAGGAGAAGGATGAGGAGGAGGAGGAGGAGGAGGAGGAGGAGGAGGAGGAGGAGGAGGAAGAGGAGGGGGAGGAGGAGAAGAAGGTCTCCGGGGGCCGTCTTCGGGCCCCGCGGGAGCGTAAAAGGCGGATCCATGGCACGAGCAGTTGCACCAGATTCTGAGCGGATCTGGCCTCCCGCACATTTTCTGGGGCCCCAGCCACTTCAGACCCACGGCAGCCTCCAAGGTGGGATGGGCTCAGCGGGGCGACGCATCGACACCCGATCGCCCACTGATCGCCGATGGGGGGCCGCGTGGCCGACCCCGCCCAGGAGCGTGCGGAGCCGCTGTCGGGGGCCTGTCGCGGATCATGCCAGGTCGATGCTTCCCTCCCCCCCCTGAGCCAGTCCCCTCGGTGTTCGGGTCAAAGCTCGGCTCTGCGGCGGCCGCTCGGGATGATGCGGGCACCCCGGGAACGCCCTCGGCGAGGCGCTGTTGCTGAAGGCACCCCGAGGCTGGAGAAGCGCCGAGAAGCGACGACGACGCCCGAACACCGAGGGAACTGGCTCAGGGGGGGAAACATCGACCTGGAATCGGCGAGGCATCGCCGATAGATCCGCGACAGGCCCCCGACAGCGGCTCCGCACGCTCCTGGGCGGGGTCGGCCACGCGGCCCCCCATCGGCGATCAGTGGGCGATCGGGTGTCGATGCGTCGCCCCGCTGAGCCCATCCCACCTTGGAGGCTGCCGTGGGTCTGAAGTGGCTGGGGCCCCAGAAAATGTGCGGGAGGCCAGATCCGCTCAGAATCTGGTGCAGCTGCTCGTGCCACGGAGACCGGAGGAGGCAAGGCACCAGCCTGATTCCAGAGCCCAGAACTCCCGGATCCTTCCTGCTCGCTGAAACCAGTGCTGGGCTACTTCAGTCACGGGAGGAAGAACAACCTGGACCCGACAATTGGCGTTTGTTAAACGGCCCTGGGCGTTTACTACACAGCCCTGCCCTGTTGGATTCCTTCTCTGGGGCGTCTACTAAACGGCTTCGAGTGTCGGGGTGGTTATGATCGGGATGGATTGTCTGCCCTCCAGTCAGACCCCCAGCCGGCTTCAAGATGCATCCACCCCTGAGCTGAAGTCGGGTCTGTCCCCCTACAGGAGGAATATCCAAAAATAGTCTACAGATAGTCTGGGGACGATTTTTCGAGCATTATGTTCGTGTTTATCATGTTTCGCAAGATTTGGTTTTGATATGATTTTTCGCCCCAAATCCCCACGTAGGGGAACAGGCCCGAGCTAACACCACGCCCGTTGCCCTCGGCGCCCCTCCAGGCTGCTGGGCGAGCTGGAGGCGCTGCACAGCGTAGGCCCCTCGTGGCGAGGCGCGGCCGCCGCCGCGGTGGAGCCCGAGCTGCTGGGCGCCGCGGGCGGCGCGGGAGCCGCGCCCGGCGGCCCCAGGCGTCGGGGGGCGACGACGCCGTTCGTGAGCTTTGAGTTTTCGATTCGGGGTTCCAGGTTTTCGATCGTTCTCGTTGGGGTTCTATTTTGGGGCTTCTATTTTGGGGTTCTAGGTTCCAGGTTTTGGGGTTCTAGGTTCTATTTTGGTCGTTCATGAGCTTTGAGTTTTCGATTGGGGGTTCAAGGTTTTCGGTCGTTCTCGTTGGTTCGCGGCGGCTTCCCAGCCTCGGGATGCCTTCCAGCAGCTGCGCCTCGCCGAGGGCGTCCCGCGGGTGCTGGAACCGTGCCGAATGGCCGTCGGAGGCCCGAGTGATGGCCCGAGAGCCATGCGGGGATGGGCATCGAGGGGGGGGTGATGCGTCGGCCCCCAATCGCCCACTGATCGCCGATAGTGGCCCGATAGCCCCCACCCCGCCCAGGAAGGGGCGGATTCACAATCGGAGGCCTATCGCCGATCTATCTGCGATCTATTGCCGATTCCAGGTCGATGCGTCCCCCCCTGTGCCAGTCCCCCCCTATCGTTGTCCCTCAGTAGGGCCGAGGGACAGAAAGCGCTTTCCTCTGCAGGACAATCAGAAAAGGGACGTCAAGGTGGGCAAACGCCTCGCCGGTCAAGCCGACGACGGTGCGCAAAGTCCAACCGTTCGCTCGTGGCCAAGGTGGTGGCTTGACGCGGGGTGTCGTGCATCAGGTTCAGCTTGACCGAACAGGTTGGTTGTGCCCCTTGACGTCCATCCGGGGTGTTCTGCAGACCTGACCCCCCGGCCCTCTTCAACATGAGCTGACAGCAGCTCGCAATGAAGGGAACGGGTCCTGAGGGGAGCGGGCGGGACACCTAAAGGAGGTCAGCGCTGACGGGGGTCAGCCGACCTTCCCAAGGTGCTCTGGCCGACCTGGGTTTGGGAGGCATCACGGAGCCGACCCCGCTCCTTCGCCCTTCACTGACCTGGGTTTGGGAGCTACTTCTTGTCCGCCCCTGTTTCGCGACGTTGCCCTGCGCTGGCTGTCCAGGGTCGGGGCCACCCCGAAGCGGGTTTTGGGTTTTTTGTCGCCGTTTTCGTGCTCCTGGGGCCTTCCATCACTGTTGGACATCGACTCAGGAGGGGAAACACCACACAGACACAATTAATCGTCGATGATTCCCAAGGACATATAGGAAAATACGGAATTGGTAGGGGGAGGCAAACACACAGGAAGTAGGAGAAACTATTGGTATTTGTGTGTGTGTGTTTACTTGTGTGCTCTTGGGCCCCTTCCAACGACTCAGGGTGAAGACTCCGTTCTGGGGGGAGGCCCTGGGGTCCGGGACCCGCTTCCCACAGGACCTTGTCTGTCTTCTTGCTAAGACAGCTGGCACCCACACCTGTGCGATTCGGAGGAGAGACTCTGCATGCACATGAGCTGTGCGGAGCTCCGCGCGGACTTCTCGGATCGGCGCCGGCCCCCCTTGCGGCGCCTCCAGCGCTGCCCACGGCGCGCTCCGCGCGCCAGGGGGAGGGGTCAGACGCCGATCTCAGAAGTCCGTGCGGACCTCGGAACGTTTATGCTTCTTCAGTTTTTTCTTCCTGGCCGTTCCCATACGTCGTATCCGTGCGGACCTCTGAAAGTTTATGCTTCTTCAGTTTTTTCTTCCTTATTTGTTCCCATACGTCGTTGGGAAGAATGTCGGGCGTGGCCCTGTGAGTGTGTGTTGTCGGATGGAGGGCCACTCGAACGGGAGCACCTTTCGGGGTCCGACAACTCGTACCCATGGCCCATGCCTCAAGGCGCCTTTCAATTTCTTCTCCCTGTAGGTTTGAGTGTATGTGTGAGAGTGTGCGTGTGTCAGTGTGTGTGTGTGTGTGTGTGTGTGTGCGCATGTGTGTGTGTGTTGTGCTGATGTCATGCGACAGCGACGTTGATGGTGATGTTGATGTCCGTGATGATGCTGAGGATGTTGATGATGATGACGATGATGATGATGATGATGATGCTGATGATGATGCTGCTGCTGCTGCTGATGATGATGATGTTGAGGATACTGCTGTTGATGCTGATGATGCTGCTGATGATGATGATGTTGCGGATGCTGCTGATGATGATGTTGATTAATATGTTGCTGATGGTGATGGTGATGATTATGATGATGCTGATGATGATGATGACGATGACGATGCGGATGATGCTGATGATGATGGTGATGCTGATGCGGATGATGACGATGATCGTCGAGGATGATGATGCTCGTGATGGGAAACGGAAGTCGCCGCGCCAGAGGCCTGGCCTCTGAAAGCAGCTCCCGGCGCCCGGCCCCGCCTCGGGGAGCCCCGGGGCCGCCTCTGCTTTGACGACGCGCAGCGGCGGGGGGGGGGGGCCCGCATGCCGGTCGGCACGGGGGGCGGAGGAGATCGGGAGGGGGAAAACACACAGACACAGTGAATCGTCGATTCCCCAAAACATATGGGAAACTATGGGAAGTGGGGGGGGGACAAAAGTTGAAAAGCATGGGAAGCTATTGGGAATCCTGTTATTTTTGTCTATGAGCGGAACGGGGGGGCCGCTCTGCTTGGAGGGTGCCCGCGTGGGCGGCGCCCACAGAAAGGGGGTCGCGCGAGGGGGGCGGCTTTCCGAGAAGGCGGGTGTTGCTCCTCAGCACTGGGTCGGGCGTGTCCCCCTACTGGCGGATTTTGGACGAAGAATAAGCAACGTTCAAGACTTTTCAAGACAAAGTTTCAAACATACCAATTCTCCTGGCGAAGGACCCCACCATATGCAGGTGTGGGTACTGCAACTGTGAATATCTTCTTCGGTGAAGCTCCCTGTGGGGTCACGAAGCGCTGCACTGGGTGGGGGGGAACGCATGCGGGCGGTAGCACTGGGGCCGTCGGTGGAGCTCCCTATGGGGGCACGAAGCGCTGTACTGGGTGGGTGAAAATGTCAAATAGCGTGTGCGGGACGCATGCGGGCGGTCCCACTGGGGGCTTCGGTGGAGCTCCCTATGGTCCCACGAAGATCTGTACTGGGTGTGGCGGACGCATGTGGTACCCCCACTGGGGCCTTACGCGGAGCTCCCTACGGGGGCGGACGCATGTGGTACCCCCACTGGGGGTGGGGGCACGGGAGGAGGAGACGCGGGGACCGTTTCTTCAAAACGAGGACCCAACACCACAGGATGGTTGGGGGAAAAATACTCCCCATACAATGTTGTGTCTCTTTTTGAATATTCCTCCTGTAGAGGGACGTGCCCGACTTACCCTTAGCAGGCAGGGGTCTCCTCAGAATGTCCCGGAGGCTTCCGAGAAGGATTCTTACAGTCAACCCGCAGAACAAGCATGAGCGACGCTCCAAGGTTACACCCTTGCGCCATCCTTGGCCTTTTTCGCTGGCCGCGCCCCGTTCGCAAAGGGTCGACATGGCCTTCTAGGCCCCTGCATGCTTCTCGTGCGCACTGATTGTACTGGTTGACTGCTACGAAGGCTGAGGGGCTCCTCAGAAGGCAGGTGCCTCCTCAGAATGTCCAAGAAGCTTCTGAGAAGCCTTCCGTCGGGCGCCGCGTAATGGGAGGGGCGATCCATTCGGGGGGGGTGAGGCAATGTGCAGTTCCCGTGTCCTGAAAGGGCCCGGACGCGGGCCTCCCTGGGGCCCAGACGGGGCACGCACGGTGCGCGTATCCTCATCCCCCCCACTCATCGCCCCCCCGTGAATTTGATCGTTGTCTTGTTCCTTGCTTTGCCGACCGGCGCGGGCCCTCGCACCCCCCTCCCCCCCCTCCATGGAAGCAGACCTTGGCTGTTTCAGGCGCCTGTTTCGAGCGGGCGGACTCGCCCATGGGACGCACTGCCTCAAACAGTCGCATCAAGCAGGGGCCTGGAGCCAGACCCCCCCCCCCTTCCGCCCAGTGTCGAGACGCCGAGTCAGAAAACGCCCACGCTTCTTGTCTCGGAAGCCCCGCGGGCTCCCAGGAGGCCCCCCGCTGGCCTTCTCGGAGGCCTCGCCGCCCCCTTGGAGGGCCGCGCCCTTCCCCCCTCGGGCTGGCTGGCCGCCACGGCCCCCCTCGTCTCGCCGCCGCCGGCCGAGGTGCCAGGATCGGGCCCCTGGTGGGGCCCGGGTGGCATCGTTGAGGCAGATCGTCTGAGAAAGCCCAGAGCTCGCTAATCAGGGATTGGTTCCCCCCCCCCACCCCCCCCAGCACCTCCGAAGATATTCCCGGGAGGGTTCCGGGAGGCCTTCCGATCGCTTTGGGGGAGAACGAGTCCCTAGCGAACCCTGGACTTTCCGGGGACAGCTGACGCCCCCCGAAGTGTCGAGTAGGAAATCAGCTACAGAGCTGATCTACTCACTGATTGTCTTTTCCCCTCGAGTCTACGCAAAAGTAGTAGAAGACAGTTCCAGGCGGTTTGCAACCGTTCCACGCCCTCTCGTAGATGCGGCGAAGATGTCACCCTGTGGGGTAAATCAATTCTGTAGTCGGCCTCCTGCTCGGATAGTCGACGCCGCCCGCAGGTTGCACGTGCTGACCGGCCTGGAGGGCGGGCCGGCTGGTCGCGGATCGCTCGCGCAGGGGCGTTACGTGCTCCGTGGCAAGGATGCGGGGAGAATCGCAGGCCCAGAGGTTGACACCACCACCAATATCGGCGGTATGCCTCCACCGAGGGCAGAAGATCCCGATCTCGGTGATGGTGGTAATATTCTGGCTTCCAGGGTGGCCGAACTATTGCCACCAACAGCGCAATCTAGGATCATCTTTCCCCTGTGGAGGCAAACCCCCTGTGTTGGTGTTGGTGCCCATTTCCAGGCCTCCAAAAGTGTGCACCGACACCCGATGCCCGTCCCTTGCCTTCGGGGTCCTTGAGACAGGGCTCAATGCAAACGGGGGTCCGCCAGAGCGCCTGATCTTGCAGGATCCTGCAGGGCCAGGGGTGCACCGACGCAGGTTCGCGAACAGAGATCCTGCAGGATCCAGCAGGATCTCACAGGATCCTGCAAAGCCTGACTGACCCAGGTCAGTGCGTCCCCGATGCCTCGTGGGCCTCCCGGGGGGCCGTTGTCGCCACGGCAACTTTTGCCTCGAAGTCAGGCCAGAGCGCGCCACAGGAGAGGTCCGGGGAAACGCTTGGCTTGTGGCGCCGGGGCGGAAGAAGCGACATCCCCCGCAGAGGCCCGCGACATGTTCTCTCGATGACTTCCGAGCCATGACTTCCGAGCCTTCTGAGGAGGCCCGCCCCTTCCCACTGCCCCCCCGGGCCCATGGCCGAGCAAAGAGAATCGCGCATCGCGCATCGCGGGGCGCGGTGCGCAAAGTTAGGCGACCAAGAGTTCGGATGCGAGTCCTGGGAGTTTGCATCCAAAATCGGGCAAGCAGAAAGCGAGGACAATCTGAGAGTGCTCTCGCAAGCTCAGGGACTCCTTAAGATCTGCATCGAGGTGAGGTGATGTCAAACACAGGGGGAATAGGGATATGTTTCAAACTCGGGAATTTTCCCTGGTCGAGAACCGGTGAACCAGCGGGATCCAGCTCAATCCCGCTTGATCCAGCTTAAAAGTCTGGCTTGCCAATCCCGGCCTCCATCCGGCCTGATCTGGCTCAGTGGCCCCTTACTCGTTCCGGAGACGATTCCCTACAGTCGGGGCGCTGAAGAAGGAACCCTTATCGTTGGGAAGGGGCTCCGTGCTCCTTGATTGTTTAGTAGTTTGCCTCCGGCGTTCCTGAGGTTTTCCATCGAAGTTTAACTTCTTGGAAAATGGGGCCTCGTTCCTTATTTAGGCTTAGGTCAACGCCCCGACTGTGTAGGAGTTGCCTGCTAGCCGGATTATTTGTATCCTGTCGCCCCCCCGAGGGCCGGCACCGGCCAGTCATCAGAGCGAGGGGGCCGAACGCTCATTCATTGTCCCTGCTTGGAGGGTTTCTCCGAAGGGCTTAGGCGACCCGTCCTCCTCCCCCTCCTCCTCCTCCTCCTCCTCCTCCTCCTCCTCCTCCTCCTCCTCCTCCCGCCTCCTCCCCCTTCTCCTCCCCCTTCTCCTCCGCCCTCCTCCCTCCTCCTCCTCCTCCTCCTCGCCCTCCCCTCCTCGGGTCGCCAACGGCCCCGGGGGAAACCGTCTATCCCTATTTTTGTTGAAGTTGAACTCCGTGGCGCGGATCCTGCTTGTTGTTGCGTTGTTATTGTCGTCGTCACCACCGCGACCCGGCCCGCGACCTACCCGCGACCCATCCGCGAATTTGCCCGCGACCCACCCCGCGACCCACCCACGAACCCCGCGCAACCCACCTGCGACCCACCCGCGACCCAGCCCGCGACCCACCCGCGACCCGCCCGCGACCCACCCACAATGCATGACGAGTAAATCGGCGCTTGCGGCGGGCTCGTTGATTCTAATCTGTGAAAATGCAGCGCCTGTGGCGGGCTTCTGCAGAGCCTCGCAGACTGCCGACGTTCCCCGCCGCCCCCTCGCCCTGGTCCGCAACTGCGGGGTGCTAGGTGTAAGTTGGACATGTCCTTTTTATCAGGGAAAAGTTCATAACATGCCAAAGGGTAGTCTGAAGCTTGTCTTTGTTATTGTTGTTGTTGCTGTTGTTGAACTCTCACTCCTGAAGAATAATGTTCGTTGATCCCCCCTCACCGGTGCAGACTGTTTTTTCTCAATCAAAGTGTGCCCCTCGACGCTCGCACCATGTTTTTTGACAGGGAAAGTCTTCGTGCTCAAACTGGGCACCTGGCCCCCGGGATTACAACAACAACGGCTCCCGCCTGAGATTTTCTCCAAATTTACGCAGGACCCCCGTTCCTGACACCTCCTCACAATTTACTTAGGATCGGTGCTCCCGCCTGTGATGTCCTCGCAATTTAGTCAGGACCCCCGCTCCCATCTGAGACTTCCTCACAATTTACTCGGGAGTGGCGCTTCCGCTTGAGACTTCCTCGCAATTTAGTCAAGACTTCCTCCTCGCAATTTAATCAAGACCCCCGCTCCCGCCAGAGAATCCCTCACATTTTATTCAGCAATTGCTCTCTCGCCTGTGACTCCCATGCAATTTATTCAGAAACAGCGCTTTCGACGATCAGGAAACACGCTGCGCCAAGGACGCCGTTACAATTTACTTAGTAATCGCGCTCTCGCCATACTCAGGCATCCCGCTTGAATGTCCCACCCACCCGACCCGCCCGTCATGTGGTCGCCCGCCCGTCGTGGGCTCCCGCTCGAGACTTCCTTCAGGAACGGCACTTTCGTCTAGGACTTCCTCTAACGTTCACGCTTTTACCTTCCTGGAGATTCCTGCTCCTCCTCCCTCTCCCTCCTCCCTCCTCCCTCCTCGCCTCCCTTCTCTCTCCCTCCTCTCTTCCCTCATCCTTATGCCTCTCTGCCCTATCCCTTCTGCCTCCTCTCCCTCCTCCCTTCTCCCTCCACTCTCTTGCCTCCTCCCTTCCTCTTTTTTTTTGTTCTCTCTCTCTCTCTCTCTCTCTCCCCTCTCTCTCTCTCTATCGACCTCTCTTATCTGCCTTTTTTTTTGTTCTCTCTCTCTCTCTCTCTCTCTCTCTCTCCCTGCCTCTAATCAACCGCCCCCTCTTCGCTATTTCGCTCCTGGCGTTTTCCCTCTTCCTTCGTCCCTCCCCCTCCCTTCCTCCCACTCTCCCCTCCCCCTCCTCTTTTTGCAGGGCCCACGCCAATTCCAATGGCAGGCACATGTACGCCCACGAAGGATTGTCTGCCTTCAGGTTTGCCCTCCTGTCTAAGCCCGCCGCCCCCCGCAACGAGAAAGAATCCCCCCAAAGGGGGTGTAATCGAAGACAACAATGGCGGGTGTCGAGGGTGTGGGGAACTCGTTTTGAATGACACACGGGCAAGTAAGAGCGAACAGTCTCAGAATGATTGGTGTTGTTGTTGGTGGTGGTGGTGTTGGTGTTGTTGTTGTTGGTGGTGGTGCTGTTGTACTAGTTGTTGTTAATGTTGTTGTTGTTGATGATTTTGTTGTTTGTATTGTTTTTGCTGTGCTAGTTGTTGTTGTTGGTGTTGTTGGTGTCGTTGGTCTTGTTGCTGTTGTTGCTGCTGTTGCTGCTGCTGCTGTTGTTGCTGTTGTTGTTGGTGTTGTTGTTGTTGTTGTTGTTGTTGGTTTTGTTATCATTGTGGTTGTTGTTGATGGTGTTGTTGTTGGTGGTGTTGTTGTGGCTGCTGTATGATCATTATTATTATTTTTTATTTTCATCATTATTATTCTTGCTCTTTTATTTGGAGCATGTTTCGACCAGTGTTCATTTTGCTCCCACCGTCCGCCTGCAGGAGGACATGCCCGACCTAAGGCCAGGCACTTGTACTGCAGATTGCGTTGGCCACGCACGGGCGACGCGCACGCCTGCACATCTCACCGTGCAAGCTCCGTGGCTGGCGCGCTCTAGCGCACACCGCTCGGGAAGCGGCACGCCGCGAGATGCTTTGCTACACGTCCGGGTGGGACGTGCGGCGCCATTCGCAGCACGCAGCGCTTCAGGGGAGGGGGAGGCACCCGTACCCCTTCTCTCCGTTCGGGCCGTCTTCCCCTCTTCGGGCCTCCTCGGAGGCCCTCGTCGCCACCGCAAGATTCGCGTCGAACTCCTGGTCAGAATGCACTCGGGGAGAGTTCCGGGGAGTAGCGGCACCGGTACTTGTTAGTCTCCCCATCAGTACTGGCATGTCCTTCAGCGCCCCGAACGGCCGCTGGAGACCAGGGCTATGGCCCAGTAACCAAGGTCGGCGCTGCGCCTGAGGGGGAAGTGAGCAGCACAAGGCCTTTCCAGAAGCGGCGGGGCTAATCGGAAGCCCGCGCGCCTTCTGGGAAGTTTCTTCTGTCTCTGCAGGGCAGGCTCGCAGAACACTTCTCAGAAGGCCACTCGCAGCACACACACACACACACACACGCACACACACTCTCCGGTATGTCCCTCTGCCTCTGCGCCCTCCCTAAGGAGGGCGAGGCCACCTGCGGCGTCCGCGTCCTCGGCACGGCCACCGCGCGGCTGCTCTGCAGCTCCGCGTGGGCGGGCGAGGGGCGCGGCGCGGAGCTCGCGGCGCTTGTGGAGTCGCTGCGGCGCCGCAGCGGCAGGCCGCGCGCACCGCCCCCCGCTGGCTGCGGCGGCGCCGCCGCTGCCGCCGCCGCCGACGCCGCCGACGCCCACGCCGAAGCGGACGCGGACGCCGACGCCGGCGACGGCGATCCTCGATGCTCAATCCTCGGCCCTCGAGCCTCCCCGATCCTCGACCGATCCCCGATCCTCGGCCCTTGAGCCTCCTCGATTCTCGATGCTCGAATCCTCGGCCCTCGAGCCTCCCCGATCCCCGACCCTCCCCGATTCGCAGACTCGAGCCTCGATCCTCGATGCTCAAATCCTCGATCCCCGACCCTCCCCGATCCCAGACCCTCCCCGAGCGCAGACCCGAGCCTCGATCCACCCCTCGAGCCTGGGGGCGCGGCCGCTGCAGCAGGGCGCGCTCGCCGGAGCGGGTGCGCCAGAGAGGGGGGGGCTTCTCCTCCTCCTCCTCCTCCTCCTCCTCCTCCTCCCCCTCCTCCTCCTCCTCCTCCTCCTCCTCCCCCTCCTCCTTTTCCTCCTCCTTCTTTTCCTCCTTTTCCTCCTCCTCCTCCTCCTCCTCCTCCTCCTCCTCCTCCCCCTCCTCCCCCTCCTCCTCCTCCTCCTCCTCCTCCTCCTCCTCCTCCTCCTCCTCCTCCTCCTCCTCCTCCTCCTCCTCCTCCTCGATCGTCGATCCTCCTGGAGCCTCGATCCGCAGAGATCCTCGATCCTCGGCCCAGGCCCCGAGCGCCCCGACGGGGGGCCCCCCTGCGGCAGGCCCGCGTGCACGGTGCTCGCCGACGCGCGCGACGCCCGGTGGCGGAGGCGCCGCGCCCGCGATGCTCCTCGGCGGGGGAGGGGGTACCGGCAGCCGGGGCCCTCCCTTCCCGGACCCCTCGAGTCGTGACGAACTCAGGAGAGGAAAAAACACACAGACACAATTAACTCTCGACTCCCCAGAAAATATAGGAAAATATGGGAAGTGGGGGGGAAGACAGAAACCCAGAAAATATGAGAAAATATGGGGGATATTTTGATTAGTGTGTATCACGACGGGAGGTTTTTCTCTGTTTTCGGCCGTTGGGGGCCCTTACGGGGCCTCGGGATCGTGACAGAAACGACTCAGGGTGAAACACCGGTCCCGAGGAATGGGTCGGGACCTTTGGGGTCCGACGTCACGAGCAAATCTTGACGTCGGGGGTTTGGGTTGTGAGGAGGGAGGAATTCAGAGGAGGAAAACGTACCTATACTGCTACCCTTTGGCCGCTTTCCACCTGGGGCATCCTCGGAGGCCCTTGTCGCCACCGCTGGGCTCGCATCGGAATTCTGGTCAGGACGTTCCCCTGGAGAGGTCCGGGGTGTAGCGGTACCGGTACCTTTTGCTTTCCCCAGAAATGAGGATGTCCCTTCGTGTTCGGTATCAAATCATCTGAGCTTGGTATACCATCTTAATTCCGTCTTTAGCGTCGTCTAGCGTCGATCAGCGTCTGGGAATCGGCGATCTAGCGCCGATGTATCGTCGATTTAGCGTCGATTAGCGTCGATGTAGAGTCGATTAGTGTTGATTAGTGTCGATTAGCCTTGATTCGCAAGAGCCGACAAGATGGTACGGGAGGCTCCTACCAGTTGCCTCCGAACTTCGTGGACGACGGAAGCGACAGGGTCATTATCACATTTTTCTGGAACGTGGGAACGGTACAGAGGAGCCCAGCCCGCAAGGTAAGGGTGAGCGACTTCCCAAGCTTACCCTTGCACCCTTGCCCCTTCGGCCCGTCCTCGGCCGCTTTCGCCGGCCAGCCCCACTCGAAAACGCCAACATGGGCTTCCAAGGCCCTTGCATCCGTACCTCTATCCTGACTATATGGGTCGACTGTAACGAAACGGTTCCCGGACACGGGGAACGATAACGGTCCCAGAATTTGAACCGGAACCAGAAAGAAATCGACAAGGGCACCCGTGAAACACGGCATCTGTATTTGTGAAAGATGGCGAAACGGAACGGGTGAAAACAACGACACCATCGTCTCCAGGGCCCCTTAAGAGAGGACCTGGCTGCTAGGCAGGGAGGGATTGAGTAGGGATTGAGAGGGAGGCGGAGGAAGAGGAGGGATTTAGCGCAGGAGCGTCTCCTATCCTCAATCGCTCCTCGTCCTCCTCCTCCTCCGTCCTTCCCTGGTCCTCCGTGCTGCCATCCCCTTCTCTTGACTTCCCTTCGCCTCTCGCCCTTCCCTTACTTCCTCCCTCCTTCTGCTTCTTCCTCCACCTCCCTACTCGCTCCTCCTCCCCCCTCCTGCCCTCAATCCCTCCTCAGTGGCTCCGGCTCCTCGCCATCCAGGTTCTTGAAGGATCTTGGCGGCGAGGTTTGGCTTCGATTCACTGACGCCCAGGATCGTGCCAGCTAAGGTCTGGACAGCGAGGGTATCAATTGATGTCCAGGGTCTTGATGGCCAGGATTGGGCTCGATTCACTGGCGTGGGTCTTGACACTCAGGGTTGGACCCGATTCAGTTGGACGAAGGGTCCTGAAGGGTTTGGTGAGCCATGGTTGGAAGAGGGAGGATCAGATCTCAACTAGCCGAGTCGGTAGACCAGTCAGAGACTAATTTTGGTCATGCGTCATCCGCTTAGGAACCTAGATAAATCTTCTCGGATCCCCTGTTAACAACCTCTCTCCTCATCCCTCCCCTATCTTTCTTTTAAAACGTTGGCAAGGTGTTCAACACGTTGGCAAGAAGCCTCACACCTCATCATCTAGAAGCTAAGCATTTCGAGCAGGAACTATAGCGAATCGTTTCTCACACATGTGGCTGTGGCACTAGCGCCGCACACAGTAGTTCATATCGATGGCAACGGCTACACTACCCGGATAGTGTCTGCCCCCGCCGTAGTATCACAGTTGCACGGATGAAAGTTGGTTGGATTTCAACGTGTGGTTTTTGTCTTGGCACCACGCATGCTCGTCCTAATAGCTTCCAGCATTTACAACGGATTGAGTCGTTGCTGTTTGCCTACTGTGGTTATCGATTTAGCGCCGCGTGCATTAGTATTCAAATCTTCTGGCAGCTCAGGATGGGTGGTGATTTCTTGTCATAAAGGGGTTCCTGCTTGCTTTTCTCTGGATGGCCAGATCTTAGGTTTGTGCTGCATGTGCACTTGTTTATTCGGATGCCTGGTGACTCATTAGCAACATGCTGTCATGTGTGTAGCAGTTCAATGGATGGACGGTGATTCGTTGTCGAACGCGTCTTCGTTGTTCGACTTTTGATATCATTTGCGATAATGGCAGGCCCATGGGCAAGATTAGGCGCTCATCTTTCAGTTGGCGCTTCGGTAGTGCTGGAGGATTCCCGTAATGATCTATGATGAGGGGGCTTCGGAGGGTGCGCTGCAATATAGTTGGTACATCTTTGGTTTATTGAATCGCTTCGCTCATTCCGCCGGCCCATTTCGCATGACTGAGCCGCGCATATCCGCCACCGCGCTTGTGGAAGACGCGTAGCTGGGCAGCAGCGGGGCGAGAGTGGCAAGATGGCCCGAGAGACCTCTGCAGACTTTCGAGATTAGCCGGGGCTGTTCAGGAGGGCCGAAAAGTTTCGAAGGGGATCCTGCCACCGCGCCTTGGTAGAAGGTTAGAGTCCTCCTGGGTACGCTCGGGGTCGCTTCGGAGAGCTCTAGGCAGTTTCTTAGGATGAAGTGTCGATGATTTTTTGGGGGGCCTCTTCGGAGCCTTGCCGGATTTGGGGACTTTTGGGGGTTGTGGTGGGCTCTTAAACGCGTCGGGTCGTTGGCATTTGCTTGCGTGCTGGAGGAGGCATTTGGGGAGCCTCTTGGGGCCGCTGGGGGGCCTCTTCAGCGTCGCTTTGGGGCCTCCTGAGGGCCTCTTGGGGGCTTTTGGGGCCTCTCAGGGGCCTCTTGAGGCCTCCTGGGGGCTTCTTAAGGCCGAGGGCTCGAAGTTTTGTTTTGTGTTCCCCCTTTGGGGCGTCGCTTGGGGCCCTCTTGGGCCCCTCTTGGGCCGTCTTGGATGCCTCTGGGGCCGTCTTGGAGCCCTCTTGGGCCATCTTGGGGCCTCCTTGGGAGCTTCTTGGGCCCTTTTGGGGCGATCTTGGGGGCCTCTTGGGCCGTCTTGGGGCGTCGGGAAGCCGAAAAGATGGACACGCCAAAATCTGCCCAAAACCTAAGGACAAGTAATGAATTTTGCCTCTTGGGGTCCTCTGGGGAGTGCTCTTGGAGGCCTCTTGGGGCGTCTGGGGCCATCTTGGGCGTCTTGGAACGATCGTGTGGCATCTCGGAGCACTCTTGAACCATCTTGGAGGGCTCTTGGCGGCCTCGTGGCCCTTCTTGGGACTCTCTGGAGGGCCACGGGGGCGGCGCCCAGGAGGAAAACCATCTCTGATCCGAGTCTGCCGGGGATCGCCCGGGGTGCTTTTCGTCCGGGGACCTCGAGGGGCCGCCCCGCGCGCGCGAAGTAGAAGTGTTATTTAGCAGTTACCGGAGATCTTAGCACGCCTCTGGCCCATTGGGCCGGCGAATTATGTTGCCTTCTTCTCCTCCTCCCTCGTCTCCTGTTGCCCTCTACCGACACCGACCCGCCCCTTCTCCCCCGACCGCTGATGCTTTGATGTGTGTCGATGTGCGGGAGGGGGAGCTCTCGACCCCTTGCTGGCAATTCCGTTCATCATCATCACCATCTTCATCCTCATCACCATCATCATCTCCACCACCATGACCACCACCAATTTCATCGTCATCACAAACATCATCATCATCATCATTAGCATCATCACCATCATCAGCACAACCACAACCATCAGCATCACCAGCAGCAATGTCATGATAATCGCCACCATCAGCAGCATCGTCATCATCAACACCACAACCTTCGTAAGCACCATCATCATCGTCATCATCGTCATCACCATATCATCATCGTCATCACCATCATCATCATTCCATTCATCATTACCACCATCATTAGCATCATCATCACCATCATCATCACCACCATCATCATCATCATCGCCATCAGTATCATCATCATCATCACCATCATCATCATCATCATTATCATTCTCAGTACCACCATCATCGTCCTCATCATCATCATCATCATCATCATCATCATCATCATCAGCATCATCATCATCATCATCTTCATCGTCATCATCATCATCGTCTTCATCACCATCATCACCATCATCAGCAGCAGCAGCATCGCCATCACCCCCCTCCTCTATTCTCCCCCCCCTCTTTTCCCCCCCGCCTCCCCCTGCCCCCCTCCCCCCGCCGCGCCCCCGCCGCCCTCCCTTCCCCCCCCACCGCCGCCCCCCGCCGCCCCCCGCCGCCCCCCCCTTACCCCGCCCCCACCCCCCCCCGTGAGGCTGTGCTCGGAGGCGGCGCCCTCGCTGGGCCTGTGGCGCGCGCGCCGGCCCGCGAAGGCCTCGGCGCGCGCCCCTTTCTGGGAGGGTGGGAGAGGGGGTCTGCAACAGGGGGTCTTCAATGGGGGCTGCCCAAGAGGCCCCCAAGATCGCCCCCAGAGCGCCCAAGAGGCCTCCAAGATAGCCTCAGGACTGCCCAAGAGGCCCCCAAGAGGGCCCAAAGACTGCCCAGGAGGCCTCTAAGACGCCCAAGGAAGCCTCCAAGACTGCCCTGGAGCACCCCAAGAAGGCCCTAAGTCGGCCCAGAGAGAGGGGTCTTCAATGTGTGCTCAACGTATCGCTCATGTCTGTGATCGGGTACGACTGGCATCCAAAGTTGGCGGTCATGCAGGGCCAGTCGTTCGTGCCCGCGCGTTGCCCGCGCGGGCAGACGCGCCGTCCATCGCTTATCGTTCGTGCGTGCGGGCGTTCTTGCATATTGCGCGTCGGGCGCGAAGTGGCGTGCAAGTGTGTCTTGATTGTGCAATTGATGATCTTGTATGTTCCCAAACGATGCCTTGTCGACCCCCAGGACAGATTTGGAATGGGTCCGGCGATTCTTCCAACATGTGAATACACATAACCTTTTTTTTTCCAACATGTGAATTCACATTTTCCTTTTTTTCCTAAACTCAGAATTCACATTCTGGCCCCTTCATACAGATTCCCACACAGCGTTCCAAACTGTGAATTCACATGTACCTTTATTCCAAAATGTGAATTCACATTTTCCTTTTTCCCTAAATCTGAATTCAAATTTTGCTTTTCCCCACAATGTGAATTCACATTTTGCCTGGCCTTCGAGATCACCAAAACTGAAGCGCAGTGTTCCGCATGTCAGATTGGCTGGGCAGATTTTGACGCTCACCTCACCATTTTCCTTTTATCCAAGCCTGTTTGTTGCGCCGTCAGCGCACGTTGCCTTCGTCGCCTTTCCCGAAGCCCCCGCCCCCTTGCTTCGTTTGCCTTCAAACTCCGCGCATGGTGCAGGCGGGGAGCTTCAATAGGTTGCCCCGCCGAACACAGCAATCGAGGATATATCGCCCATGCGTGGCCCATAAGGACACCATTGCAGGGACCCTGCGCCCGACCGCCACTTTCACCCTCCAGCCCTTCGCGCGCTGCGTGCGCGCCGCGCGTGCGCAGCGCCGTCGCGGACGTCGTCGTCGTCGTCGTCGTCGTCGTCGTCGTCGTCGTTGTCGTCGCGTTCGTCGTCGTCGTGGTCGTCGTCGTCGTGGTGATCGTCGTCGTCGACGCCGTCGGCGTGGTCGTCGACGTCGTCGTCGTCAGCGGCGGCGGCAGCGGCGTCGGCGGCGTCGTCGCCTCGGACTCGTAGGTGCTCGCAAGCCCTCGGAAGTTCTCATCGGTTCCTGGAGGCTGCGCGGCCTCGAGGTGTGTTGTGGCCTCGGGATGCGTTCTTCGGCCACGCGCAGAGGGGGGGTGGGGGGAGGGGGGGGCCTTCTTACAACCACCCTGCTTCTCAGATGGCGCGGGCCCGTATCTGTAGATGGAAGGCTGGCGCTTTCTACGAAGCAGCCTCCCTGCACGAAGCCGTCCCCCCTGTCCCCACCCCCTTGTGCGCGCTGCCCAGATGCGGTCCAGCCTCGGGATGTGCGATGTGCCCCAGCAGCAGCAGCAGCAGCCTCGGGACGTGTTCCGGCAGCCGGCCCCCTGGGGTTGCGATGGAACGACATCACGTCGGAGGATGTCTGGCGCTGCGCGCCCGCTCGTCGCCCGACGACGGCCACGGCCGCCGACGACGACAGGCGACGACGGCCGACGTCGTCGACGACGACGTTGAAGGGGTCGTTGTCGTCGTCGTCGTCGTCGTGCGTGCGCAGCGCCGTCGCGGACGTGGTTGTCGCGCCGTCGTCGGCGCCTGGAGGTTTCTCGGCCTCGGGATGTGTCCCAGCACGGAGCACGGCAGCAGCCTCGGGACGACGGCGACGACGGCGATGACGGCGACGACGGGCGACGTCGACGACGACGACGAGGAAATGGAAAAGATGTTCGTTGGTTTCTTAATAATCGAAGAAAAATAAGACGGCATAAACACCAACGTTCGACGCTCCGCGCGGATTTCTTGGATCCGCGCCTGGGCCCCCCCGGCGGCGCCTCCAGCGCCGCCCCTGGCGCGCTCTGCGCGCCAGTGAGGGGGACCCAGCGCAGATCCAAGAAATCCGCGCGGAGCGCCAAATTCAAAAGTGTATGTTTTCAGCGTTTTGCCTTCTAAGAAAGTGGAAAAGATACTCGTGGGTTCCTTAATAACCTCATGCCCGTGAGAATAAACACTAGGGGATAATAAAGTTCGGGGTTCAGGGAGAGATAATAAAAGTAGCCCAGCAGACCTCATCATAATCTCGAAGTTAAAGATGATCAAGAGGAGACCAAGCCGAGCACGTTTTGAGACATCCTTGGCGTTTAGTTTTCATAGAAATATCCTCAACAATGGCTTATCTCGCTGGAGACATCCTGGACAAATCCCTTGTTTCGCTTGAGACATCCGCAAACTATTGCTTATTTCGCTTGAGACACAGTCAAACTATTGCTTATTTCGCTTGAGACATCCTCGGAATAGCTCATCCGCCTCGGCGTCCCTAGATAATCAACGGCGGCGATAATAAAGTTCAGGCGGGCGGAGGAATGGAGGAAGCTATATATATATAAGAAATATAAAAAGAATACATAATATAATAAAATAAATGATAGGAGGAGGAGAAGGACGAAGAGAAGAAACAATCTCGAGTTTCAAATCTATTAGATTTTATTCACAAGCGCTTTATGACAATTGTTTTTTGTAAGTGCTCGTGTAGGGTAGCTCATGTGCCTCAATTTCCATGGATAATCAACCCCAGAGATAAAAAAGTTCAGGCGAGCGTGGGGACAGAGAGGAATATAAACTAAGAAGAATATAGTGGAAGAGTAATAAGAAAGAAGAAGAAGAGGAGAATAAGAAGAGGACGAAGAAAGGAAACATCCAAAGTTCCAAATATATCAATTTTAATTTACAAACGCTTTATGAAAATTGATTTATTTTAAGTGCTCGTGTAGGGTAGCTCATGTGCTTCATTTTCCATGGATAATCAACCCCAGGGATAAAAAAGTTCAGGCGAGCGTGAGGACAGATAGAAACATAAAATAATAAGAGGAAAAATATAATAATAAGAAGAGAAGAAGAAGAAGAATAAGAAGAAGAAGAAGAAGAGAAGAAGAAGACCGGAACATGGAAAGTTCCAAACCTATCAATTTTAATTTACAAACGCTTTATGAACATTGTTTTTTTCAAGTGCTCATGTAGAGTAGCTCATGTGCTCCCCTTTCCATGGATAATCAACCCCAGAGATAAAAAAGTTCAGGCGCGCGCGGGGACACATACATATATAAAAAGGAAGATAATACAAAAATATAAATAAAAAGAAAAAACTTGCTGGTTTAGCTTGAAGCATCCTTGAGACATCCTTGGAACATTGCTCGTTTCGTTTGAGTCTGCCTCCCACAATTTTTGGTTTCGCTGACACATCCTGAAAAAGTGTGATCGCTTCGCTTGATGTTGCTATATCAACATCGCTTGATGTTGCTATCTCAACATAGCGTTTCGAGGTGATAATGAAGTTCGGCCTCAGCGCTCGCCGCCCAATTTGAATTTTGTATAGGGCGACGATAATCAACTCTAAGCACTGAAGGGGGGGGGCCCCTTTATTATCATCGGCATGCGGTTAAGCGTGGTACCCCCCCGAAGGGGGTGAACCTCGCCTCGTCGTCGCTCCGCGACCGGGGTCGGAGCGCCTTCGGCGCGCGGTGGCTGCCCGCGACGGGGCTGTCGGCGGGGGTGACGCCCCCCCCCGACGTTTTATCAAGAAACTCGGAGTACCGATTCTGGTGCTTTTCCTGGAGGTCCTTCGTTACCGCGGCCGGATCCTTTTTCGGAATCATGGTCAGAACGCCCCAAGGTCCGGGGGAGTATCAGTATCGGAGTCTTTCTGTTCCCCGATGTCGGCGACGACGGTTGACGACGACGACGTTTACGGCCGACGGCGACGACGACCGTCGGCGAACGTTTCGACGATGGTCGACGACCATAAACGGAGGCACGTGGCCATCGATGAAGAACATGTCTGCGACAAGGATGGCAACGGATTGTCGGCGGATATAAAGACCATACGGGGTAAGTCCATACGGAGTGTTCGGTTTCCGTCTGGACTTCCTCCGTCTGGACTTGGGCCTCTCCCGGAAAAGGGCCGCCTCAAGCTCTTCTTGGTGGAGGCTCCAGAGCCCGGCCGTCTGAAGGCCAGCGGGCGTGACGTTTCCTTGACCAGGTCGCCGTGGTTGTTCTTGTTTTTCTGGGCCTCCTGTTGCGCCTCTGTCGCCACGCATCCCGCCACCGTGCCTTGGTTGTGGGTATGAAGCCTTTTGGATGTTCGTCGGAATGTCGGAGGCCTCTCGGGAGCCTCTTGGAGGCAGTTTGGAGGCCTCTTGGGGGCCGTTTGGCGGCCTCGTGGGGCCTCTCTTGGGGGCCTCTTGGGGGCATCTTGGGGGCCTCTTGGGGACTCCTGGGCGCCTCTTGGGGCCTCCTGGGGACCTCTTGGGGCGGAAGGCTAGGATTTTCGGTTCGTGTTCCCTCTCCTAGGCCCGTGTTGGGGCCCTTTTTGGTTGTCTTTGGCGCCTCTTGGGCTCTCTTGGAGCGCTCTTAGGCCGCCTTGGAACCCTTTAGAGGCCTCTTTGGCGGTTTTGGGTCGTCTTGGGGGCCTCTTGGGCCGACTTGGAGGGTTCCTTCAAAAACCAAAAAAACATAAATTCTATTGGCGGTCTCTTGGGGCCTTCTTAGGAAGCCTCGTCGAGCCCTCTTTGGGCGCCTCGGAGGCCTCTTGGGCCTTTGTGGGGCCATCTTGGGCGCCTTGGGCCGATCTTTCGGCGTTTCGTGGCCCTCTTGAGTTGAGCCGTCTTGGAGGCCGCTCGGGGCCCTCTTGGCTCGCCTTGGGGCCCTCCTGGCCCTGGAAAGGTCATGCGACGACACTGCCCGGAGCGCAGGGGGGCACGCGGCACGCCCCGGTGGGCGCGCGGGAAGCCCGGCCAGGTCTCGGAGTGGGAAGTCCGAGCTCCTCAAAGACTCTTCAGGAGTGAGTCGGGACGGACGAAAGGGGGGGATTGGGAAAGGGGGGGTTACGGAATTTGCTGCATGCAGCTGGTTTCGGCCCCACCGAGGAGCCCATTCCTCGATACATGGTCGCCTCCGGCGCCGGGAGGCGCCGGGAAAATCAGCTACGCGAGCTGATTCTCAACCCCCCCCTTTGCTATCCCCCCCTTTCGCCCGACCCGAGTGAGGCTTCTGCGCGGCGGAAATCCTTGTGTAACTAATATTGCTCCCGCGCGACGGCTCCAGTTGATCTGCGAGGCTTCTGCGCGACGCGGCGGCTCCAGTTGTTTCCCCGTGTATCTAATATTGTTGCATTGGGAAAGCAGGCGCGCTGCTTCTGTCCCGACTCTGAGCCTGAGTGACCGCCAAGTGCAACCAGAGTGACCGCCCAGAAGCATTGCCTCGCAGAGTGACGCCTACCTAGTTGAGCAACTGGTGCGCGATGCCGGGGTGAGGCTTAGAGGATTGGGCCCAGGACCTGAGGACACGCCCACTCCGTGCCCGAGGCACGGTAGCTGACATCCCCATCTAGTGGGGTAAATCGGTCAGTGGGGTTGAGGCCATGCCTATGGGGAGAGGGGGTCGTTTTAACGATGCTCCGTTCCCGCCATAAGCTGATGGCAGATCGCACCACTGGAGAGGTCGGGGGAGGCGATCTTTGGCGGGTCGTCGTCGTCGCCGTTCTTTCTGTCGTCGTTTGTTTGTGTGTGTTTGTGGACGTTGTTGACCTGAACACATGGGCTTGGCGCGTAGCTGTAATTGAAGGTGACGGTGACGCAATGTTGGCATTCGGAATGCATTGCAGAAGCCGTTGCCGCGCAATCGAGGCGTCTGGCAACCTGATGTGCACATGCCACGTGATGTCCAGTGTTTTGTTGGTATATCGCAATGCCACCGGGCTCGACGACATGCCTATTTGCAGGGCCCAGCTTACTGATGGCATCACGACCTGCAGGGTGGTTACGTTGCATCTTCGGGCGACCTCGCCTATCCCCAAACTTGCTTGGTGTCTTTTTTGTGCCCGACGCGGGCTCCATGCGGACCCGACGCGGATTTGGCGCAGATTCGACGCGGATCCGACACGGATTCGACACGGATCCGACGAGTCCGACGTGGATTCGACACGGATTCGACGCGGATAGGGCCGCGACGGGACAGACGAGGTCCCCCGAGGATGCAGCACGAGGGTGGGAGCTTGCTTGTGCGGTGCAGTGCGGCGCGCTGCGGCGTAATGCAGCGTGGCGCAGCTCGCTTCCCCACGGCGCCGGCCTGCGCGCGCCCGCGCGAGATCGCCATCACCGGCGTGCCCGTCGGGCTCACGGAGGAGGCGGCGCTCACCGGCCGCGCGCTCTTTCTCGGCCCCCCTGCGCCTGCGGGGTAGGAGGGAGTGGCAGCGGCAACGTTAGGGGGTGGAACGGGGCTGCGAGGTGCGAGGATCGAGGATCGTGGTTCGCTTTCTCCAGGTTTTTGGTCGCCCTCGGGTGTCCACGCGGCCACGGCTGGAGCCGCGTCGACAGGTCCGGGGATCGAGGCCCGACCCCCCCGGTCTGAGGGGGGGGGAGATGGCTCCCGGGCGGGATGCGTCACCCGCAGTCGCCCGAGATGGGCCTGGCAGCCCACGCCGCCCAGGGACGTGCGGTGGCCGTCGTCCGGGGGCCTGCCGCGGATCGATCGGCAAAGTGCCTCCGATGCCAAGTCTCGGGCCGGACGAAAGGGGGGGGTTGGGAAAAGGGGGGGTTACGAAATTTGCTGCATGCAGCTGGTTTCGGCCCCACCGAGGGGCCCATTCCTCGATACATAGGCGCCGGGAGGCGCCATGAGGCGCCGGGAAAATCAGCTACGTGAGCTGATTCTCCCTCCCCCCCTTTGCTATCCCCCCCCTTCCGCCCGATCCGAAAGTCGAGGCCCCTCCGCGGTGTCGCTTCGGACGGGGATGGGACGAGGATAAGTTCGGTATCGTTTAACCGATCCCCATCCCCATCCCCATCCCCTTCGAGACCCCTACCAAATTACCACCCCAGTTGGGCATGCACCCCTCGAACCCCCAAGGGAACGACCTATATCCCCATCTAGGGGGGTTAACCCAGCCGGTGGGGCCCAGGCCACGCCGCTTGGGATGGGGATTGGGTAAGCGATACTCAGAGGATAAATCCCTTCCAGGGCCGTCCCGGAACGCTCTAAGAGCGCTCCGGAACGCTGCGAGGAGGCCGCGGCCTCCGAGATTCTCGATTGATCTTCACCCGCGGTTATCCTCGTCCTGGCTTCGTCCTGATTGCTCCTCCTGCTGCCCCTCCGCGGCGTCTCTCGTCGTCTCGTCCGTCGTCCCTCGTTCCTGCCAGGGCGAGCGAGGCAGGTAATTAGTCTCCCGGCCTCCTGAGAAGTCTTCGAAACCTTCCCCGAGGACGCAGGAAACCTCTCAGAGGGCCAGAGGGCTTCTAAGAAGCCCCGCCGCCTTCTGAGAGGGCCTTCTCCTTCTCACTCCCCACCCCTCGCTCGCCGCCGCTCGTCATCTCCTCGTCCGTCATCCCAGGTTGTCTGCCGGGGCCAGCGAGGCAACTAGTGGTTTGGCGCTGTGGGCTCGCCGCTGGTGCACGTTCTGACCTCCGTCCGCCCCCTCCTCACACCCCAAAGGATCTGCAGAGGCGAGGGGTATTCCAACACGACGAAGAGCCACTTAGTATTATCAGCGTATGTGTTGTGTTTGCTCAACTATTCATGTTTCATGTATATAATGATAGATTGACGTATCGAGCTATATGTGTATTATATATATGTATATGTATCCGTAAGGGCTTGCCCCCCTGCCGCCGGCCCCCTCTCTATCATAATGGGATACATCAGAGCTATATTGGGATGTCTGGGCACCGTCTTGATGACATTCGGGAGCGTCATGCTAGGGCGGCTGAAATCTAGATCAGACATTCGGAACGTCATGCTAGAACTTGATGAGCAAAACATCTCGAGATTCTGAAATCATTGTTGAACGCTTTGTTGTCTTCTTAGAGCATTTCCCTCCAGTTGTTCATTGGAAGCGCTCTGGGAACGGCTGGGGATTGGTTGTTTCAGAAGTATTTGGGGACATTGCAGTTTTTCTGCTCAGGAAAAGGAGTGTCGCCTTTGGGCAGCCTCCGCGAGGTGGATTCGTAGCCTGGGGGTGCGCATCCAGCGTAATTCACTAGGGATCGTGGCATCGAGGGCGCGAATGTGGCGTAATTTGCATGGGATCGTGGCCTGGGGGGCGCGAATTTGGTGTAATTCACTAGGGATCGCGTGGCCTCGGGGGCGCGACTGCGGCGTACTTTCCAAGGGATCGTGGCCTCGGGGGCGCTCATGTGGCGTAATTTACGAGGGGTCGTGGCCTCGGGGGCGCGAATCTGGCGTAATTGACGAGGGATCGTGGCCTCGTGGGCGCGAACGTGGTGTAATTTACGAGGGATCATGGCCTGGGGGGCGCGAATGTGGAGCCCACCGCCGAATTTTCAAGAAACGGCGGGGGGGGCAAAACAATACCAGTTTGCGCGGAGCGGTCACGCAGATGGGCCGATGAGGAGGCGTCCGAAGTAGGTAGGAAGATCAGGGTGGGCTCTTTTTCGGCGGCGAGCAAGGGGGGAAGTGAGAAGGAGAAGGCCATCTTAGAAGTTTCGGAAGCCCCCCGGCCTTCTGAGAAGTTTTGTAAGCCTTCCCGAAGACAGAAAACGCTTCGCACAAGGCGGGGCTCCTGAGAAGTTCCGCCGCCTTCTGAGAAGGCCTTCTCCTTGTCGTGTCCCAACGTTTGGATAGCCAAGGTGCTAGATCCTGGGCTCCTTGTGAAACGCTGTCGTCTCCCGCGCAGAATCCTCCCACAATAGTCGGCGAGGACCACCCAAGAGACCTCGGGAGCCTAGATACGGGGGTCCATGCAAACGGGGATCAGACAGAGCGCCCGATCTTGCAGGATCTTGCGGGGCCACGGTCGCATCGACCCGGGCGTGGGTGCAGGATCCTGCAGGATCTTGCAGGACCCTTCGCATTGACTCGGGTTTGGGTGCAGGATTTTGCATGTTTCTGCGAGGCCTGACTAACCTTGGTGTTGATTTCGGCGACTACAACGGGTATAGTTACGCCGGGGTATGGTTTGCGATCGGTACCGTCGGAGCCTGGGGGGCACGACACTGTCCGCGTCAGGCCTCCTCCGGGCGCGACGGAGAGCTCTGTCGAGGTCCGCGCCCGCCCCCAGGGTGCCCCTCGGGGTGCCAGTTGCAAACCGCACCTTTTGCACACCATACCTTAGTGGGCCCTGGAAACGACAGGGCCGTTTTTTTACCGGTTCCGTTTTGCAGTTTGTTTGCCGGTTCCGACGCCGTTTTTTTACCGGTTCCGTCGCCGTTTTTTGACCGGTTCCGGCTCCAGTTCCGATCTTGGAGCCGTTTTTTTGCCGTTTCTGGTTGCCGTTTTTTTGCCGTTTCCATTTTCAATGGACATTTTTTGGGGAAACGGTGAAAAAAGGCCCTGCCGTTTCCCGTGCCCACAAAGCACCATACCCTTCGGAGTCGCCGAGGATTGACCCGGGTCAGGAGGATCCCCGATCGACCGCGGGAGAGACATGCCGGAGACCCTGGCGTGAGGCTGCGGCGCAGAGCGACGAGTGGCGAGGGGGACGACTCGGGTCCGTGGTCGAGCACGCGTGAGTACTGCAGGCAATCAGGGGAGGAGGAGGAGGAGGAGGAGGAGGAGGAGGAGGAGGAGGAGGAGGAGGAGCAGGAGGAGGACCAGGAGCAGGAGCAGGAGGAGAAGGAGGAGGAGGGGGGGGACGAGGAGGAGGAGGGGAACACACTTTCTACTCTCATGCGAAAGAGCTGCTGTTGAATGCATGTGCTTCAAGATTGCCCTGCCCGCCACCTTTCTCTTGCATTCGCGCCGTGTTGCCGCAGAGTCTCACGCCATCCGTCTCCGCCTGCAGAGCGAGGTGCCTCCTTAGGCTCCTCGACCGGGCTTGACTTGACTTTTGGGGGCGGAGGGGGCCAGTAGCGTCACGATTCGCGCTGGCGCCGTCTGGGAATGCTGGTGATGTTATACCAGATCATCGCGTCGAGTGAACACAGTGGCTCCTGTTGCAGCTGCCTCCCACGACGGGTAAGGACAACCCCAGCTTTGAAAGTGTGCCCTTGTGTTCCTCATCTCTGGGGTTTGTCTCTTCCACTCTAGACCGTCGGTCGCTTTCGGCGTGGCCATGGTCCCTCTCGGCCAAGGGGCTCCTTTTTCTGTCCACCTTTTTGGTAGGCACGTGTTCGACACGGCCGCTTACCCTCTCCTCTCCTCCTCTTGCGCCCCGGGCCCTCGTAGGGTGTCTGAGAAGGTTGCAGGCTCTGGAAAGGAAGCTTCGCAGAAGCCTCGAGGGAGCTTCGCAGGAGCTTCGAGGGAGCTGCGGAGAAGGCTTCCAGCACGCGTATTGGGACGAGTAGGGAAAGGCTGGCTGGGACCCGCCATGGGCTGTCAGCAGGGCTTGGGGTCTCACAGTGGGACCGAGGTATCAGATCGAGGTCGGCTCGGGGAGGGCACCCTAAGCGTTCTTCGTTTTTTTTTGTGCTGGATATTCTTGTGCATCCTGGGGAGGGCACCCTTGGATGCTCTCCACTTTGGCCGGCGGCGGGCCTCGTGCTCTTGAGGCATGCTCTTCCGTCCCAGGTCCGTCTGGAGGCACGCTTCGACTGTACGGGCGCCAGGAGGGTTTGGGGCCTTACATCTCCCGACCACTGGTGGCGGGTCGGGTGCTCCCCTCTCTTCAGTCCTCCCTGCGGCCCACAGGAGCAGGTGAGCCTCGCGAGGGAGCCCTTCGAGGCCGCCGCCGTCCCTCCCCGCGCCCCCCTCTCGGCGGCTCTAGCGAGGGGGGACATGGGAATGAGAAGGCCTTCCCAGGAGGCGGTGGGACTTCCCAGAAGCCCTCGCGCCTGCTGAGAAGTTTCCGGTGTCTTCGGGGAAGACTTCCGAGGCCCGCCCCCTCTCGCTTCCCCCTCGGGCGCGCGGTCGACTCATCCCACTACTGCAAATCTGGCAGAAGGGCGGCTCTGGGATCTGGGCGTCGTGGGCAGAAGCACGACGGGTGTTTTCTTCCCTGTATCGAGCCTTGCGGCCATCACGGGCCGACCCAGAACGCCGCACAAAGACGGGGGCCGAGGTCTCATGGTCGTGGTTTGTTGTATGGTGCAGTGGCCTGTTTCGCGGCGTCGGGCACATCTGGGCTACTCCTGCAGACTGTGTGTGGGGGCCAGGGAGACACGTAGAAACAAACGCTGCCTCGGACGTCCGCGCAGGGTGCCTTCTGGCGCGTGACCCCTCCCCGCTCCTCCTCCTCCTCCTCCTCCTCCTCCTCCTATTCCTTCTACTTCTCTTTCTCCTCCTCCTCATTTTTTCTTTTCTCCTCTTCCTCCTCCTCCTCCTGCTGCTGCTGCTCCTCCTCCTCCTCCTCCTCCTCCTCCTCCTCCTCCTCCTCCTCCCTCCTCCCCTCCCCCTCCTCCTCTCCTCCTCCTCCTCCTCCTCCTCCTCCTCCTCCTCCTCCTCCGCCTCCGCCTCCTCCTCCTCCTCCTCCTCCTCCTCCTCCTCGGCGCGAGCGGTTGATTAGTACGCGCCGTTGTCACAGCTCATATTTGCCCCAACCTCTGAAAGAGCCATCCCGAGCACACTATCGTTGGCTGCAGCGGAGGGGACGCGGCGGGCACAAAACGTAGACACAGCACCGATGCTGACATTATGTCCTGTGGCCTGACTTGGCGGACATGCGAGTGGTGAGCAGCAACAGGAGGCTAGTGACGATAATGGGGAGCATGTGTAGTTTCTTGCACGGGTGGAAGGACTCGGCAGGATAAGCATGATGAGGATTTGTCCGAGATGAGAAGGATTCGGGTCATTGACCGCCAGAGACGGATACGCAATGGGACACGGATGGAGAGGGAGAAGGGAAGGAATATCTCGGGATTAGTATGGCTAGAACGGAAGGCAAGGAACCGGAAGCGGTGCATAGCCAGCCAGACCGACGATGATGATATTGGATTGTGGCCCGCTGAGGTGTACAGGGAGCGCATGATGCAGCAGTGTACCGATGCCCGCTGAAGCGAAAGGTGAGAGCATGATATCATCACAGACCTCAAACGTCTTGAAACCACACCACGGCGTGTTCGCGTTTTAATCGGTGGTTAGGGGGTGAGATCGCACTGGAACGGAGAGCTCCCCACCGGGAAATCGGTTTCGGTTTCGTGTCGTGCGGGCGGGTGAGGCGAAGCTGCGTGGGCGCGCGAGAGGAATGATGCCGCTGTCGGTAGGGCGACTCGGATGCGAAAGTCTGACGCTTTGGTGGGCGCGCGGTGGCTGAATGTGTCCCGCCGTGGTGGCCCGATGGTGTCCCGATGTGTCTCGCGGTGTCTCGCCGTGGTTGCCAGAGAGGAATGATCCCGCCGTCGCTGGGGCGATTCGGATGCAGAAGTCCGGCCACCGGGTGGGCGCGCGGTTGGTGGGGGGGTCCAGCCTTGGTGTCTCGCGTTGTCCCGATGCTGTCCCGCGCTGTCCCGCTGTAGTGTCCCGATGGTGTCCCGATGGTGTCCCGATTATCGTGGTGTCCAGTGGTGCCCCGCGGTGTCCTGCGGTGTCCCGCCGTAGTGTCCCGATGGTGTCACGACCTATAGTGAGACTCATAGTGAGATCGATAACGATCGAGCTGTGGTGAGATCGATAATCGGATCTATAGTGAGGTCGATCGTGAGATTAGTAGTTCAATCGATCGTGCGAGCGGTAGTGAATGAGATCGATAGTTGCATCGATCGTATATTCGATATTCAGGTCGATAGTAGTGCGATCGACTGCGAGATCGCCAGGTGAGATCAATAGAGGATCGATTGTGAGCTTGATTGTGAGATCGATTGGCGCGGCAACTCGAGGGCGCGCAACCAGCATCGTCATCATCACACCTATCGCAGTTGCCAGCAGTTGGTTCTGTCCCCTCCCCCCAACCTCATCACCACTTGAGTGATTGTCACCCCCAGCCTCCTTCACAAACATGACCCCAGATGGAACGCCAACATCCAGGAAGGTTGTCGAGGGTTCTGGAGGCGACCGAAGCAAGTCCTGACTTCGATTTCTGAGTGTACACACCCATCGTTTGTCGAGAGTACGAGTTTCTGGGCTCACAGATCCTAATCCATTAGACGCCTTCCGATTTCAATGATCGTGAGGCTTTCCCTTCTGCTGTCTGCGCCTGACCGTTCCATGTTTCCGCCCGCTTCCTCCGAGCGATGGTCGTAGAGTCGTAAAGCTGCAGAGTTGGGGGAGCCATGAGATACTGACACCGCTACTCCCCAGACTTCTCCCGGGGTGCGTTCCGCTCAGAACTTCTTGGGCGTTGCGTAATGGAGGGGTCATAAATAGGGGGGTGGCGAGGGTGGTCCGAAAAGGTGCCCAAGCGGTACCTGAACGAGCCCCCTGGGGCTCCGGAGGGGCCCGAAAGTGGCACGAAAGGGAACCCCCCATCGAGCCACGCCCAAAATTTCGAGGAGAATCCGGCCGTGGCGACGAGGGTTCTCCAGGACGAGCAGCGGCATGGGTAACACGCGTCGTCCTCTGCACTGCCCGCCCGCCCTGGGCCGCCCTCGCGCCCAGACGCCCGCCTATAGGTTTTTTTGCTCAGGCCGCTGGTGATGATGATGATGATGATGATGATGAGGAGGAGGAGGAGGAGGAGGAGGAGGAGGAGGAGGAGGAGGAGAAGGAGGAGGAGGAGGAGGAGGAGGGTGTTGCAGATGATGATAATGATGATGATGATGCTGATGCTGATGCTGATGCTGATGCTAATGCTGCTGATGATGCTGATGCTGATGATGATGAGGAGGAGGAGTAGGAGGATGATGTTGATGAGGATGATGAGGATGAGGAGGATGATGCTGCAGTTGATGATGATGATGCTGATGATGATGATGATGATGCTGATGATGATGATGCTGATGCTGATGCTGATGCTCATGCTGATGATGATGATGCTGATGATGATGATGCTGATGATGATGTTGATGCTCATGCTGATGCTGATGCTGATGCTGATGCTGATGCTGATGCTGATGCTGATGCTGATGCTGCTGCTGCTGCTGCTGATGATGATGATGATGATGATGATGAGAAGGGGCAGGAGGAGGAGGAGGAGGAGGAGGAGGCGGAGGATGATGGTGATGCTGATGATTTTCTCAGGCCGCGGGCCCACAGGCTCAGATCCCTCTGCTGGATGCAGCAGTTCCGCGCTCTGCACGCGTTGTTGATGGTCCAGGGGCCTGGCGACGGGCCCTTATGGGGACCGAGCTCGAGATGCAGCTTTTTGTTGCCCCGCCCCTGGCGCGCTCCGCGCGCCAGGGAGGGGGGCACAGCGCGGTTCCAAGAAATCCGCGCGGAGCGCAAACAGTTGATGGTTTGTGCTTTTGTTCTTCTTCTATTATCGTTTCGTTATTCGTTGTTTTGCCGATCGGCGCGGGCCCTCGCACCCCACCCCTCCCTATGGAGTAGATCTTGGCTGTTTTGGGCGCCTGTCTCGAGCAGGTGGAGGCTCCCCCCATAGGACGCACTGCTGCAAACCGTCGCACTGAGCAGAGGTCCGGAGCCAGACCCCCCCCCTGCCTCCCCCTTCCTCCCAATGTTGAAGCGCCGGGTAAAACAAACAAAAAGCGCTCACCGAGAGAGCGACGCGCGCAAGCTCGAGGGGACGTGCCTGTGCCGAAGCAAGACTCACCTCGTCGGGCGTTTGGGCCCCAGATCTTCCAAGAGTCGGAGTCCAGCCTGCCCTGGCCTGAGGACAGGGCAGGGCCGGGCATCTGGGCTGATCGGGAAGGGGGCAGGGGGCCACATGCGAACCCTACCCCTACACCCCCGATTTTTGAAGGGGGGGGGTTCGCTTCGCTCGGGAGCTCCCGAACGAGGTGAACCCCACCCTCCCCCTCAGAAATCGTGGGGGCTAGGGGTAGGGTTCGCATGTGGCCCCCTCGGGGGGAAGAGGTGATCGTTGTCTTACTCCTTGCTGCGCCGATAGGCGCGGGCCCTTGCACGCCTCCTCTCCCCCCCCCTTTGGATGAGATCCTGGCTGTCCTTCCCTCCCCCCCGAGGGTTCCAAAGGGGGTTTTTGGGGAGGGGGTTTTCCAGGAGGGGTCCCCCAGGGGCTTCTCACCCCCTGTTTTGACGAGGCTCGGAGGCCCCTGGGGGGCTCTCTGGAAGACACCCTCCCCCCAAACCGCTTTTGGAAACCCTCTGGTCCCTCGTCCGCCCAAGGTCGAAACGACGATCGAAGGAAAACGTTCGCGGGAGCCCGCGCGCCGCCGCCCACGAGCGCGCGGCAAAAAAGAGCGCGTGGCGCATCGCGGACCCCCCCTCGGCGCAGTGCCAAGCGCCGCACTGACAGTTCGTTTGCGCGCTCGGGGAGACAGGGGGGTCCCCTCTCCCTGTCGGAGTCTCCCCAACCCTCATGACACAGTGAAGATGTAGCCAAAGTTAGGTCCTCGTTTCTGCATGAGGGATACTCAGGTCTTGGCGGTTGGGCTTCTTATTTCTGTTGGGACTCTTAACCCTGATCTCTTGGGCCTTTCAACGTATGTCCGCTCTCAAAGGGTTAGTGGTCCTTCAACAGTTGATCACCTGACCCTTTCCGCACCGCCGCCCACCCAGGCTCCAGCGCTCGGTGTGGAGATTGTTGTGCTTTTATCATCTAGTGCGTTGCGGTTCCAGACGTTCTGGCGTTTCGAACATCTCGGGGCGGAGGTTTTTCATAGCGTTCGGCCTCTCGGGGACCCTATCGGGCCGCATGACGGTCAGAGGACGACTCGCGATGAAAAGCTGGTCCCAGGGAAATAGTTGAGAGGTCTGGGGCCCGTGTCTTCAAACCATCGAGACGTCGGATGTCTAGGGTCGTTACCCAGGTCCCCCCCAGCCCTCCTGGGTAACGGTATCGATCGTATGGTACGGGGGGGGGTCCTGGCCCCCCTCCTACATGCTGGTGTTCGCGGGCATTCTATGGTGATCGTAGCGCACCCCCGCCCCGACGTACCCTAACCCCGCCCTACGGTTGCCGCTACTCGGGGCCCCAACCTGCCCATCCTGGGGTAACGACTGTTGCAGGAAAATGTGCGACCGATTTCTGCCGCACGCAGCGGGGTTCAGCGCAAACAGGGTTCGACCACAACGCCGGATCCCGTAGGATCATGCAACGCCCGAGTCTGTTTGAGACGGGTTTGGGAGCCGCTCGCGGCCATGGCGGTGGCCTCACGTCTTGGCTGAGCCGTGTGTGGGGAGCCCCCCGGAGCAGTTGCCGCGCTGCCTTCTCTGAGCTGGCGGAGCCCCGCTTGCGCGCTGACCCGGATTCATCTCAGGCTCCCCAGACGGGGTCCGGGCAGCCGGGGTCGGAGGGCCGCGCCGCGTCGCCGATGCATCGGCGACGGTTGTGATGCATCGGCGACGTCGGCGTGGGGGAGGGCTCCGCATCGAGCCGCATCGTCGATGCAGCGGCGACGCGGCGCGATGCTCCGGCCCCATCCAGGAGGCCCCCAGGGCCAAACCACGCCCGAAGTCTCGCGCCGAGGCGCTCCGTCCAGACCTTGACGTGCGACGTCCCGATGTGTACGATGCGCGGCCTCCGAGGTCCCGACCCGGTCCCCGGGGCCGGCCTTTCATCCGAGGTCGGTTTTTGACGGCCCTGGGGCGCGGTGAGGCCCCTCCGAAGACGGGCACGGCGAGCACGGTGAGGCCCCCAGGGCCAGGCCACGCCGGAGACCTCGCGCTCCCGCTCTGGGCAAGACTCCCCCGGGAGTTCTTGCCTCGAGCGGCGGCGGCGCAGCGGTGGGGGGGGACCGCCAGGGCGCGCAACCGTAGCCCCCCCCTGTCAGCCCAAGCACGCACGCCGTCCATACAGTGAACGCCCATACCAAGAAACACCCTGCTTGCCTCCAGGGTGCCGTGGGCTCCCTTGCTCTCGATGGTTTCGCGATGGAAACCTTGACGTTCTCACACTAAGCAAATCAAAGCACGCCCTGGGTTCTCAGGGTTGGGTGTCCTGTGGGAGGTCTCCTGTGGTCGAGCTCCTCCTGCAGGCATCCGCGCCCCCGCTCGGCGCAGAGGTCCCCTGGGAGTTCCTGCCCTTCCACGCCGGGCGCGTTGTCCTGATCTGAGTGCCGCGGGGTGCGCGCGGCGGGCCGCCGCGCGTGCCGCCTCCCCGCAGCCCATGGGCCGCCGGAGTGCAGGCCCGTCGCGGGTGCCGCAGATGCTCGCGGACCGAGGATCGAGGTCAGCATCGAGGCCGAGGATCGAACCCCAGGATCGACCGACGCTCCAACAAAAAATCTTGACGCTCGCGTATCCCCACCAGGACAGGACAGGACAGGAAGAACCCGCGCCTGGACGGCGCATCGGCGTATCCCCACCAGCTCATCCAGAAACGATGCCCAGGCGAGCTGCCTCTCCGAGTCTCCTCGGATGTCTCTTGGAAGCTTTTTGGAAGCCTCTTGTCTTGGAGCGCCTTGGGGGCGTACTAGCGGTCCCGAAGGCCTCTTGGAGCGTCTTGGGTGCCTCGGGGAGCCTCTTGGGGCCTCTTGGGGGTCTCTTGGGAGACTCTTGGAGGCCTCCTCCCGGGCGCCTCTGGGGGCCTCCTGGGCGCCTCTTGGGCCCCCCTCCTCGGGAGCCCCAAAAATCGCCTCTTGGGCCCCTCTTGGGGCGCTTTTGGAGCACCCCTTGGGCGCTCTTGGGGCCGTCTCGGGGCTATCTTGGCCTCTCTTGGGGCCCTCAGCAGCCCTCTTGGATCTGCCTTGAGGCCTCGGAAGGCCAATGGAAGAGAAAAAGCGAACCGTCAAACATATTTTTTTTTGTAAAAGGGTTGTTTGAAGGAATTCGGTCTCTCCTTTTGGGGAGGCTCCGTGGCTACTTGGATCCGTCTTGGAGCGTTCTTGGGGACTCTTGGAGCATCGAGGAAGCCATCTTGAGCCATCTTGCGCTATCTTGAACTATTTTGGAGGCCATCTTGTGTTCTCCGAGGCCCTCTTGGATCCGTCTTGGGCCATCTTGGACGCACCAACTACCCGCGGAACACCCCTTCGGGTTAGGTTGGGATGGTCTGGTAGGTAGTCAAACTAGTCCTCGCCCTCGCTTCGTCTTAGCCAGAGAGCTGCTCCTCTCTGGGGGGTGTGCCGCGCGAGAGGGCGCGGGGCCAGGGGGATGATGAGGAGTAGTAGGAGGAGGAGGAGGAGGAGGAGGCGGAGGAGGAGGAGGAGGAGGAGGAGAAGGAGGAGCAGGAGGAGGAGGAGGAGGAGGAGCGAACAGGCGAGGAGGAGGAGGAGGAAGAGGAGGAGGAGGAGGAGGAGGAGGTTGAGGAGGAGGAGGAGGAGGAGGAGGAGGAGGAGGAGGAGGAGGGGAGGGGAGGGGGAGGAAGAGGAGGAGGAGGAGAGGGAGGAGGAGGAGGAGGAGGAGGAGGAGGAGGAGGAGGAGGAGGAGGAGGAAACGAGGAGGAGGAGGAGGAAGAGGAGGATGAGGAGGAGGAGGAGGAGGAGGAGGAGGAGGAGGAGGAGAGGAGGAGGAGGAGGAGGAGGAGAAGATGGGAGGGAGGGGGAGGAGGAGGGGGAGGAGGGAAGGGGAGGAGGAGGAGGAGGAGGAGGAGGAGGAGGAGGAGGAGGAGGAGGAGGAGGAGGAGGAGACTCTGGAGACTCTGCCTGATCGCGTAGCGATATGAATATGGAGGTCCGCCGGCACCTACTGAAGTGCCTGTTGCTTCCCCAGTCTCTGGATAGTCTCAGCTTGGCTGAGCGCTTTGGGCCAGGACCCCATTGCAATACGACGCAAATACTCCCGCCCTGTGGCGGTGGGTGTGTCACATGCGACGGCTAACTTCCCGATCTGTCGGGAGGCGTACACCCCGCAGTGAAAACAAAACCACAATTTCAGCCCAGTGTGGAACCTTAAACGATGGGTTAAATGAGCAAATCCCCCTGCCACATGTACCTGCATCCCGAGGGGGGGTCTCATATAAGTGCCATCAACATTCACAAGGTCATAACAACTGGTGCGAAGCCATTCAGTCCTACGGGCCTGGGTGGAGGAGTTCTGACACCTACTGCACCTACTACCCGTACTGTCTAGGGTATGTTGTGATGCAAACATTGCACAAACAGCGGGGGCTGGCGGTTTGGCTGGAGCCTTAGGCTTCGGCCTCCTACGACGCGGGCCCTCTTGGTGTGCTATTCTATCGGCCTCGAGAGCATCTAAGTGGGCCCTAAGGATCCTCATCCTCACCGTGAACGCTTGCTGCTCAACTCTGGCATACTGCTGTCGGATGTGTTTGGGGATCCTGCATTCACGAGCCGCTCCCGCGGCTATCTCATCCGCGACGGTGTTGCCGTAGGCTAGTGAGCTGCTGATTTTACCTGCACAGATGTCGGTCTCAGTCATATGGGACCGAATGCAAAGAACAACCACATCTGCTTGCCGCTCTCGAACAGCCTCACGAAGGCGGTACCACAGATCAGCATCGGCGCCCTCGGGCGCCTCCAAGTGGCCGTTGTAGTAGTTGAGATACACACCCTCACTGTCGGTGAAGTAGACCAGGTCGCCCACCGTGGTGGTAACAGCCATCAGTAGGGCCATGAGCTCACCACGAATGACGGTCTGTCGCCCTCCTGGCAGTGGCCCCCATGCTGCGCCCTGCAACTCCATGCCGTTCCTGTCCAGGTCGTGGAAAACGGCGATGGCCACGCCGACGCGGCGCATGGGAACACTGGAGGTGTCGCCGCCGCCACTGCCGTCACCGAAGACATAGATGGGCTCGCCTTGGCCGCGACCGAAACACCCTGGGCCATAGGCGTCGGCGCCGTCGACCTGCCAGCTCGCGTGATCAGCTGGTGGTGGTAGACGGGTCCAGCTGCGAGGTAAAAGCCCTCGCGTCCAGTAGCACTCGAACATGTGCTGCTGGGTCGTGGCCTGGGTGATGAGGCTGTCCGTGGCCTCGTAGATCGGGCACTCCTTTCTGCATGTACACTGCCATATCCGATGAAACTCCGTCTCTTCTGCTTCCCCGCATCGCTCGCAGTGGCCGTCGGTGTCGGCGCCCTTGACCTCGGCCTTGACGCGGGCCTTGGGCCACATGGCACCAGTAGCGATGGCCAGCATGAGCGCTGCGAGGCGCGGTCCATTTTCCATAGTCTCGAGGTAGCGCAGCAGCCGTCGGTAAGAATGATTATCAATTCCTTCTTCCATGCCGCCACCGCCTCGATGCTTGCTGGCTTGGTGCCAGTATCTGTCTTGAATACTGTTGTCCAGGTCGTCCAGCAGGTAGCTGGCCTGACTCTTGTACTGGATGGGGTAGCCACGTCTTTTCATGGCTCGAGCTATGTACTTCGCGTCATCCATCTCAGAGCAGATGATGACGCTCTTCTTGGCGATGGTGAGGCCCCTCTCGGCCAGCTCCTCGCACGTGTCGGTGAGGCACCTCACCATGTCCTTCCGTAAGGCGCGCCGCGAGCCCTGCATGCGCTGGGAGGAGGAGGAGGAGGAGGAGGAGGAGGAGGAGGAGGAGGAGGAGGAGGAGGAGGAGGAGGAGGAGGTGTGCGCGGCGCGAGAGGGCGCGGTGCCAGAGCGGAGCTGTTGCGCGGGCCGGGCACCGTGCGAGCGGCGCGGGGCGCGGAAAGAGCCTGGCGGCCCGGGTCGTTCGCGGCGCGGTGGCAGCGGCGCCGGCAGCTCACATCGGAGTCACGTTTCTCTCGGAGAAGAGAAATCACCGAGCGCGTTGCGTTACTCGCAAAGTGCCTACTCGCAAACGTCCTGAAAAACAACAGATGCTTGCTTTCGACGACAAGTATCGTAGATCGAGGCCATTTGCGAGTAGTTACTTTGCGAGTAGCGGATCGTTCGAACGTGCTCGTCCAGAAAACATTGCATAAACATAGGGTTTCGAAGTTCCGCGCGGATTTCTTGGATCTGCGCTGGGGCCCCCTGGCGGCGCCTGTGGCGCCGCCAGGGAGGGGGTCCAGTGCAGATCCACGAAATCCGCGCGGAGCGCCAGAAGTTTATGTTTATGCCATTTTGTCTTTTATTCTCGGGGTCGTCCAAGAAGAGGGCATCCAAGAGTCAGGAGGGAACAAACAGAGGCACAAGCATAAATCAGTCATGAGGTTCATGAAGGGATGAGAGACAATTGGGAATGCGGGGGAGCAGGGAGATCATCATGACGGGTGCGCAATGCGAACGCTGCCATTGGAGCCGTACGTGGAGCACTGTGGGGCCACGAAGCGCGTGAGGAGGCGCCGAATTGGGGGCGGGTGCGCTATGCGAACCCTGCCACCAAGGCCTTCGGAGGAGTGTTTCCCATGGGGGCTTTCGCATTCGCGGGGTGTGCCGAATCGAATGCGGGTGCACCATGCGGACCTTGCCGCTGGGGCCTTCGGTGGAGCTCCCTACGGGGACACGAAAACGTGTGAGGGATGTACCGAACCGTGTGCGGGTAAGCCATGCGGACCCTGCCGCGGGAAGCGTTCGGTGGAGCTCCATACGGGGCTACGAAAACGTGTGAGGGGAGTGCGAACCCTGCCGCTGGGGCCTGAGGTGGAGCTGCCTGCGGGGCCACTAAACGTGTGAGGGGTTTGCCCGATCGGATGCGGGTACGCCATGTGTTTCTGTGCAGTACTCTATGGAGCGAATGTGCGTTTGAGGGGGGGCCGAATCGGGTGCGGTTACGCCATGTGTACCCTGCCGCTGGGTCCTTCGGTGGAGTTCCATGCGGGGCCACGAAGCGTGTGAGGGGTGTACCAAAACGTGTGCGGCTGTGCCATGCGGACCTTGCCGCTGGGGCCTTCGGGTGAGCCCCCATATGGGGTCACGAAACGTGGTAACGTGGTGTATGCATGCATGCATGCATGCATGCATGCAAGTATGCATGTATGACTGTATGTATGTATGTATGCATGCATGAGTGCATGCAGGCATGCATGTATGCATGCATGTATGTATGCATGTATGGACGTATGTATGTATGTATGCATGCATGCATGTCTGTGTGTGTATGCATGTATGTACGTATGCATGCATGCATGCATGTACGTATGCATGCATGCATGCATGCATGTATGTATGTATGTATGTATGTATGTGTGTATGTATGCATGCGCATATGTATAAGTAGGTGTGTGCACGCATGTGTGGGTGCATGCGTGCATGCATGCATGTATGCATGCATGCATGTATACATGCATGTATGTATGTATGTATGTATGTATGTATGTATGTATGTATATATGCCGGTTTGTATGTATGTATGCATGAATGTATGCATGCATGTATGTATGCATGTATATATGTATGTAGGTATGTATGTAGATATGTATGCACGTATGTATTGTGTATGTATGTGTATATGTATATATGTATGTATACATGCATGTATGCATGTCTGCCTGTCTGTCTGTCTGCATGTATGTACGTATGTATGTATGTACGTATATATATATATGCATGCATGTATGTATGTGTGTATGTATGCATGTATGCATGCATGCATGACTGTATTCATGTATGCATGTACGTATGTAGGTTTTGATATGTATATGTGTGTATATATGTATGCAGTTAGGTATGCATGTGTGCATGCATGTATGGTTGTATGTATGCATGTATGCATGCATACATGCACACATGCATGCATTGATGTACACATGCATTTATTCATGTTTGCATGTAGACATCGTTGTACGTACGCATGTATGGATGTGTGTATGTATGCATGTGTGTATGTATACAGCCATATATGTATACATGTACGTATGCATGTATGTATGCATGCATGTATGCATGTATGTATATATGTATGTATGCATGCGTATATATGCATGTAGGTATGCATGCATGCATGTGTGTATGTATATTCGTGTGTGTATAAACATATACATATACATATATATATATATATATGTGCATATGTGTGTATGTATGTATATATTCGTTGTGTGCCGAATCGGTCGCGTGTACGCCATGTGGAGCCTGCCGTTGGTGCTTTCGGTGGAGCTTCCTCTGGAGCACAAACGGGTGTGAGGGGTGTGCCGAATCGGGTGCGTATTCGCCATGTGGACCCTTCTATTGGAGCCTTCGGTGAAGCTCTTTCTGGGGCCACGAAGTGTGTGAGAGGCGTGCCGACATTGAATTATGCAGGGCATTTGCAGAAATGTGAGGAGGGAGGAAGAGAAGGACAAAGATGAGGAGGACGACGGGGAGGAGGAGGTGGTGGAGAAGAAGGAGATGAGGACGAGATGAGGAGGAATAGGCGGAGACAGAGGAGGAGGAGGAGGAGGAGGAGGAGGAGGAGTAGGAGTAGGAGGAGGAGGAGGAGGAGGAGGAGGAGGAGGCGGAGGAGGAGGGGGGAGGAAGATAATATTGGATGTTTGGGAACAGTTGAGAAGACATATGGGAAAATCTGGAATCTGTGCCAATTGATTTGTGCCCCTCTGGGTCCCTGCAGGGGTGGGCGTCCAAGAGGGGGTTCGCGGCCCGAAGCGCGTGCGTAGCAGAAGGGGGGGCAAGGGACGTGCTGAAACACGAAGAGGCGGCCATGGATGCACGAGCACGACGCCATACGCCAAAGTTAGAGATGTCCTTGACTTTGCATCGCCAGGCCCCCCCCCGGGTCTTCGGACCTCGGATTCTCTTTTCCCACCACCGTCCCTCGCCTCGATCCTCGCTTCGTTCCACCTCCCCACGCCTTCTCCGGAAGGCCCGCGAGAACTTCCTATTCGAGCTTCCACCCCCCTCGTCCCTCGTCTTAAGCCGGGCCTGTCCCTCTACAGGGGGCATATTCAAAAATAGTACAAACATAGTCTGGGGACGATGTTTTGAATCTGCTTTGCATTTGTTGGGTATCTTTTATAAGGGGGACATGCCCCCCCTCGCCCCTCGTCCTCCGCGGCCGACGACCACGACGAGGACCGACGACGACCGACGTCTGGAGGCCTGCCCAGGAGCCCCCCCTGGGCCCCGGAGATTTCCAGGTCGCCCCGGGTGCCCCCAACATGGCCACGGCCATCGATCCTCGACCAGCGAACCTCGAACCTCCTCCTCCTCCTTCGCCTTCTCCTTCTCCTGCACCTCCTCCTCCTCCTCCTCCTCTTCCTCCTCCTCCTCCTCCTCGTCCTGCTTCTCCTCCTCCTCTGCCTCCTCCTCCTCTTCCTCCTCCTCCTCCTCCTCATGTGCCTCCTCCTCCTCTTCCTCCTCTCCTCCTTCTCCTCCGCCTCCTACTCCTCCTTGAAAGCCCCGACCCTCGACCGTCGAACCTCGAACCCGAGCGACGGCGGCGGCGCTGGCCGCGGCAGCAACGACGACGACGGCAGCCGAGGCGACGGAGCCGCGTCGCCGCTGCCTCCCTCCAGGAGCGCGCCGTGCGGGGCCGCGGCGCGCGGTAGGTTTAGGGCCGTGCTGCAGCCTCGCCTCGGGGGTGCGCGCCACTGTGCTCGCGCGCCGCCAGGCGGCGCCGGGGCTCAGTATCGTCCGGCCTGACGAAGAAAAATCGACTAGACGTAAGAGTGACCTTTCGCCGGAGTGACCTTTGGTGCGGGCACAGATGGGCCCCCAGATGGCCGAACGCGAAGCGGTAGCAGCGGCTAGCACGCCTGGATTTGGCCTCCCCGCGGCCCCCCCAACGGCTGCGCACCAAAGGTCACTCTTACCCAGGGTCACTCTTCTCTTACGTGTAGCCGAACAAAAACGTCGTAAACAGACGTGTTTGGCGCTCCGCGCGGATTTCTCGGATCCGCGCTGGGCCCCCCGTCGGCGCCTCCGTAGCCGCCCCTGTCGTGCTCCGCGCGCCAGGGAGGTGGTCCAGCGCAGATTCAAGAAATTCGCGCGGTGCGCCAAAAGGTTATGTTGATGGCGCTTTTTGGTCTTCTAGGAATCTCAGTCCTACCAGCCCGCCCTCCCAGGTCTTGGCATCGCTCTGGCGTGTGCATTTTTGCGAAAGAGCGCCAGTGGATCACCTTGAAGACACAAAAGGGGGGGTGCGCTCCAGGGACCCCCCCCCCCCCCTCCCCCCCTTCAGGGGGGGGGGGGGGGGGTCCGAGAACCCCCCCCCCTTCCCCCCCTTTAAGGGGGGGGGGTTCGAACCCCCCCCCCCTTTGAAAGGGGGGGGGGGGGGGTCGGAACCCCTCCCCCCCCCTCCCCCTTGAAGGGGGGCCCCTTTGGGTGATCCAGCGGCGCGCCCTCCATTTTTGCTCAGCGAAGGACATCGAGGAGTACTTTGGATCATCGAGCAACAGGAAATCACGCACCGAGCCGAAACGCATGGGGAATGGACGTCCGAGCGATGGCAAGAGGTACAGTGCGAGCAGAGCTCTGGATCGCCCTGGCAAGATCACCCACGATACGGTCAACCCACATACAGCGAGGATGAGCAGCTTTCCAAGGTTGCTTTTGCGTCATTCCCCTTCGGCCCATTCTTAGCCACTTCTGCTAACCGCGGCCCGCTCGCAGAATGCCGACATTCCCCCCTAGGTCCTCGCATCCTTTTTGTGCTCCCTTACTACGGTAGGTTCGCGTCGTGTCGACCGGCGGCGACCCCGCCGTGGGCGTTCAAGGTTGAACGCCGCCGGCGGCCCAGAATCGGTCGATGTTGAAC